CAGGGGACAATCTTATGAATTCAGTAAAAATGCATCCTCTCCCCTATGAAAAGAAACTTTCAAAAAATACAGACCATTGCCCATGGGGGAGCACATACCACCTTCAGCTATGTTAATATTTGTGTCACTATTTACTTGAAAATCAATTAAACTAAGGAGTTCAATCAGAAGAGCTCCAACAGCTCATCCTTGAAACCTACCTAGCATGCCAAAGTGCAACTATGAGGAAAAATCCTCAAAGATCAGAAATTATTTCTCTAGCAGTCTGAGAGACATCTCTTCTGAGTGCCACAAAATTATGGAAGCAATGAACAGGTGAGATCACATACCTAGTAATACTAATTTTTAATCACTAACACTTGAACTGATGATTTCCTTCTATGAAATATTGTTAACAACATTCAGTTTGCACTTTACCACTGAGACAGAAAACAATCACAGTAATAAAAAGGATATCAGCTTTAGCAAAGTCTCTTATCCCACACTGAGGTAATCCTGGTGTGTTTTGCATGTAGAAATCCAAATAAAACCAATGGGCCAGTTCGATCTGAAAACACACTCTGATTGCATTGTCTCTCTCTTCACTTGGAATGTGCAAAATAAATCGGCTACCAGAAAAGAAAGAAGAGTAACATTAGCCAAATCTATTGATTTAAATGAAGCTAACAACAAAACCACATTGCAATAGTAGAATTCCTGATCCATTAGCAGATACGAACAGACCACCAGATCCTCCAGTTGTTCTGCAGGGACAGCAAAAGGTTTTCACAAAGTAAAACACAACTTTGGAAGTCAAGAAGGAAGACAGATTATGATGTTCTTTCAGAAATATCAACTACAACAAACTAAGTAAATTAACTGCTGTGAAAACAGGGAGGGTGAGGACAACCTACATCAATGCCCTTACTACAGAAATGAAAGCACCAGTAAAGAACATCTGCAAACTCTGATAAGAGATTTCAACACATTTTTTTCAGAACAAAAGTTAAACATGGCTATGTATTTTCACTTAAAACCACAGTAAACTACTAATTTATTTAGATTTTAAAATTCAATATGATCCTACTAATTTCCTCAGTCTGAAACAGAACATGGACAATTGGTTTCTTTTTCAAGTCAAGTTATGCTTTAGCCCAGACACTCACAAACACAAAACACCAGAAATGTAAGTTTAAGTAGCACTGTGTGATAGCTTATTTTACTTAAGCAGAAGAATCTTCAATTGTTTATTTTTTTGTATCAAAAGCACAACTTTCTTTTTAGAAATTGAAGGTCATACACCGCATTGAACTTAAATCATCTAACATAGATCTTCTACATTCAACTCCTGAGCGCCAGCAGCTACATTCCAAAAGTGCGTATCATTGCTAGAGCTGGAAACATTTAAGACATCTTTACTTAAAATCTGACAGGTATAAATTGTTATAGGATGTCAAAATTTGCACTCTGGTCAAAGAGGCAGAAGGTCACTTGTGCAGGCACACACTTGACACTCTCATTGTCTCCACTTCTGTTTTCTTAGGTGCGTGTCTGTATATTTTTTTATTCTAATTTCCTCCTAGTGAGATAAAGTTGCTGGAAAGAACATTCTCATACCCCCTCATCAGTCAGTGGCCAAGTTTGGTTCTCACCACCACCTCCCTATGAGTTTGTGTCCCTGTATGCTTTGTTCCTGGATTTCGCACCTACTTACTATCCCATTTTCACACTATAAAAGGTCCTTGAACAGATATCCTTAAAGAACGTGACAGGCCTGAAAGGGCCTGTGTGAACCTCACAAAGTTCAACAAGACCAAGTGCAAGGTCCTGCAGCTGGGTGGGACAATCCCAAGCACAAATACAGGCTGGATGGAGAGAAGCTCTGGGGAAAAGGACTTGGGGGTGTTGGTGGATGAGAATCTTGACCTGAGCTGGCCATGTGTGCTCACAGACAATTCTTTGGATCAAAAGCAGAGTAGGCAGCAGGCCTAGGGATGGAATTCTCCCCCTCTACTCTGCTCTTGTGAGACCCTACCTGCAGTGCTGTGTCCAGCTCTGTGGTCCCAACACAGGGAGGATGGGGACCTGCTGGAGTGAGTCTGGAGGAGAACCATGAAGATGAGCAGAGGGATGGAGAACCTTTCCTAAAAAGACAGGCTGAGAGAGTTGGGGTTGTTCAGTTTGGAGAGGAGAAGGCTCTAGGGAGACCTTATAGCACCTTCCAGTACCTAAAGAGGGGCTATAAGAAATATGGAGAGGGGCTTTTTAGAAAGGCATATAGTGATAGGACAAGAGGGAGTGGCTTTAAAGAGGTCAGGTTCAGATCAGGTATTAGGAAAAAATTCTTTACTATTAGGGTGGTGAGACACTGGAACAGGTTGTTCAGAGAAGCTGGGGATGTCTCATTCCTGGAAGTGCTCAAGGCCAGGTTGGAATGGGCCCTGAACAACTGATCTAGAAGGTGTCCCTGCCCACAGCAGGTGGGATGGGACTAGATCATCTTTAAGGTCCCTTTCAACCTAAACCAGTCTATGATTCTTCCTTACATAAACAACCTTATTCACTTCAACAACTGTATTTTCCCACTTCCCAATTTTCAGTTGGCAATACCACCCCTAACTGCTCATTTCTTTCAAAGGTTCCATTTTGAGTGCTGAAAAAAAAGCCCTTACAGACAAGGCTTCTGTAGATAAAAGGTAAAATGTTAAAAGTCTATTTTAACTTACAGTACTGCAGTTGGACATAAATCTAAAGATACAACATATAGCAGTACCAAAGAGGAATAAGAACATGCCAGGCATTAGGCTTAGAAGAACAACAGCAAAGTCAATTAGAATGCTATTTATTAATCAAAAAGTTAACTTTTAAGTTATGTGGAGTGACTAACAACAGGCATCTCCAGGTTGTATTGGGTGCAGGTGCCCAGCTGCTGCAGTGAGGGACACACTGCAGGGCACAGTGAAGGCAGCAGCCAGGATGGTGGAAGTGTACTTAGGAAAGGACAAAAATGCCAGACAAGCAAAGGAAGGGAGAAAAAGAGCATGAAACAGTAGTGCAAACACTGAAGTTGGAGAAGAAGGAGGGAGAGGAGGTGCTCCATGGCAGAGGAGATGTCTACCCTACAGCCACAGTGGTAACTGGTAAGCAACATTCCTGTCTCATCCTGAGCCACAAGCTTTCTATCCTATTTTCTCCTTCATCTTATTGAAGAGAGGGAGTGAATGGCTGGGTGTACCTCTGGCTACTGAGGAAGGCTAACCAACCACAGTCCTGAAGTCAAATGATGGGGCAACAGCACTTGTTTATAAGAGAAAGCATCAAGAGGCCCCAAAACATAAATTAAGTCTCTGCACTTCCACTTCTTTATTCAGCAAAGAACAACCAAGCTGCAGTAAGAGAGCATGACAAAAAAATTACAGGAGTACTTGTGACGTGTTTTTTAACAAGACTCAGTAATTGAGTAAGAAAAATTGCTTGGCTCTTTCTGCCAAAAGTTCCACTAATATCACATACAGAGAATGTGGGAAATTACAGCTATTTTTATAACCCATTTCGAGCCAACCACTTGACTACACTCATACAATTATAAGACAAAACACCACTTCAAAGCTAGAAAATGACAGTAGCTCAAAGAAACACAGTGGGACTGCCCCTATCACTGACCCTATCCAAATACTCTGTTATACTAGTGACACTAATAGGCTGTATCAGTTTTGTAAACATTGTAATTCCCTACTGGATTTTCTGAAAAGTCTCAAATGCCACTTCATATGTGAGCAGGGATCTAAAAGGCACATTCCATCTCTGTGTAAGGAATGCAAAGAAAACACAATGAAAACACAAACATGGTTCAGATGCCAGAGAGAATTTAAAGAGAGAATTAGAGAATTTAAAATTTACTTGCATATCGCAAACTCTGACTCTTGCATTAGACTCATGGAAAACAACACTGAGCAGAGCAGTTCTACCCTCCTGTAGTATTCTCGCTCCTAAACATTTTCACTCATTTGAAACTAGTAATTACAGTAAGTGGACTATCCTTCGTCTCTAGTAACCTTTCCCTCTTGTACACAAATAATTCAGGAAGGGTCTCTTTGATGATTTTGTGCCAAATATCAGATCTAGTCTGGGGCATCACATTTTTGGGGATGATGGATAAATTAAAAGTCTGAAGGGCTGCTCCACAGATGATCAGAGCTTGAGACCACAAGAGGGAAAGGTGCCTTCCCCCTTTCTAAGAAAAGGGAACCCACGATTTATGAAAATTCAAACGCAAAGCCCTGAGAACAAGAAAAGGTGACTCTTCCACTCTGAAAGTACTGATGGGTATCCCTTTTCCTCCGCTGGCACATCCCATTCCAGCAGAGGTAAACGAGCTGGAGGGACTCTCTGACAGCCATTCCAAACGGATCCCGACGCCAGAGCGGCGGGTGTCCCCCAGTCCATCCCCACCACGTCATCCCAAACCCCCGCTTCGGTCTCTGCTTCCCCTGCGCAGCTTCACCTCGTCCGCCCCGGCACCGCAGGAAAACGCCGCAGACAACGTTCTGCCACTTCCCCCGCACTCCCGGCTCCCGGTGCGCCGCTCGGGACCGGAGGGTGCCGCGGGCAGCCTTCCCGCCCTCCCAGGATAGATCCCTTCGTGAAGGCGGAGCCTCGGGCAAAGGGGGGAGCGGGTCGAGCCCCTTCCTTCCGCTTCCCGGCCGCCGGGGGACGGCCTGAGCCGCCCCTTCCAGCTGCTCGCCCCGCACCCCCGCGGCGCTCCGAGCATCCCAGGTATCCCAAACATCCTGGGACCCCCGCTCCGCCAGGGGAGCCGCCGGGGGGAAGGCGCCCACCGCGTCCTCCAGCAACAGCGGCTCCGCAAGCCCCGGGAGCACCCCCCGCGCGCACGACCGCACCTGCATAGGTCGTCCAGGACGCTGCTGGGGATGTCGGCCCGTTTGGTCTCCATGGGGAATCGCGGCTCATCCCGAAGCGGCGGAGCCCGCAAAGTAGGGACGCGGCGGGGGCGGAGCCGCGCGGAGGTGGGGGGGGGAGAGGACGGCGGAACGACAGCGGCCCCGGCCAATCGCCGCGCAGCACCGGCGGAGCGGCGGCCAATGGGGCGAAGGCGCTCGAGGCCGACCGCGGCGATCAGGTGATCGCGAGTGGCCAATGGGCGCCCCAGGGGGGCGGGGTGCCGCGTGCGCGCCGGTTGCGCCGCGAGTGGGGGACGCGAAACAGCGGGATGCGAATGGAAAGGTGTGGAATAAAGGGATTGAGAGATGGCGGATAGAGAGGTAGGGGATAGAGGGAGAGGGGATAGAAGGGTATGGAATAGAGGGATAGGGAATAGAGGGATAGGGAATAGAGGGATAGGGAATAGAGGGATAGGGAATAGCGGGATAGCGAATAGCGGGATAGCGAATAGCAGATAGGGGGTAGAGGGATAGGGAACAGAGGGACAGGGAATAGAGGGATAAGAAACAGAGGGATAGGGGATAGAGGGATGGGGATAGTGGGATAGGGAATAAAGGGATAGGGGTTAGAGTGATAGGGCATAGTGAGATAAGGAATAGCGGGATATGGAATACAGGGGTAGAGAATAGAGGGGTAGGGGATAGAGGGATAGGGGATAGCAGGATAGAGAACAACAGGATAGGGGATAGTGGGACATGGCTGAGGTCGAGGGAGAGGATCCTCCCCTTGTACTCAGCCCTGGTGAGGCACATCTGGAGTTCTGGGCTCCTCAGGACCAGAGGGTCTAGGAACTCCTGGAGAGGGTCCAGTGGAGGGTAACAAAGACGATGAGGGGTCTGGAGCATCTCTCTGATGAGGAGAAATGCAGGAGATGGGGCTGTTTAGTCTGGAGAGGGGAAGAATGAGAGGGGATCTCGTTAATGGATATAAATATCTCAAAGGCGGATGTCAGAGGATGGTGGCAGGCTCTGTTCATTGATGCCCAGAGACAGGATGAGGAGCAGTGGCCGTAAACTAAAACACAAGAATTCCACCTCAACATGAGGGAAAACTTCTTTACATTGAGGGTGGCAGAGCATGGAACGGGCTGCCCAGGGAGGGCGTGGAGTCCCCCTCTCTGGAGGCGTTCCAAACCTACCTGGACACATCCCTGTGTCACCTCCTGCAGATGCCCCTGCCTTGGCAGGGAGCTGGACTGAGTGATTCCCAGAGGTTCCTTCCAACCCTCACAGTCCTCTGATTCTGTGAAACAAAACGGGCTCCGGGTGGCATTCTGGAGGAGCCTCCCTGCCGGCAGAGGGTATCGCTGCTCTCTGCGCGGCGGCTGCTGCTGTCACTGCACCCTCTGATTCCAGTTAAAAGCGAGTACTTAGTGCGTTCCTCCTCCTGTCCTTTCCCCGCTCCTTCGTCGCCGAAGCTCCCTCTGGTGGTCGTTCTCCTTAGCGGGCTCGGGGAGAGAATCGGGGAAATGAGAAAACTTGTGGGTTGAGATAAAGACTGAATTGCCTACCAAGTTATTACTATTGCGTATTAAACCGTAGAGAAAGGAAAACCTGTACACACAGGAAAGCAAAACAGGGAATTAATTCACTGCTTCCTGTGACCAGGCAGGTGTTCAGCCACCCCGAGGAAAGCAGGGCTCCATCACGCGTAACAGTGACTTGGGAACACAAATCCCATCACTCTAAATATCCTCCCACTTCCTTCTTCTCACCACAGCTTTATATACGGAGCATGAGCATTTCATAGTGTGGAGTATTATCAACACTGTTTTCAGAACAAATCCAGAACACGGCTCCATGGTAGCTAAAGAAAATTAACTCCACCCCAGCCAAAACCAGCACATAAAGATACCAGCGCAGTGTTACACTGAAGACACAAAAAGTATGTATATTCACAACACATTTATTAACTGTTGGGTACAGAAAGTGAGAAATGTATCCTTTGCCTCCTTTTCAAAGCTATAACAAAGGACAAGAGACTCCATAATAGCTCCAGAAGTACAAGGGAAGGGCATTCAACCAGGTATAGAAGGAGCAATACTGTAAGAAGACTTCAGAGCCCTATCTTAGTAAAATCAGCACATTTACATCTATTGGTGCTCTCCTCTCCAAAGTCCACTCCATAGTATTTGACAGTGACTTTTGCTCCACCACCTTTATTGCTGTGATACTTGAGGTGATGTGTGGATCACATCAGTGTTGACTTAAAGAAGTACTTTGGCAGAGGAAAGTAAGTCTACCACTAGCAGAACTATTAATATGGCTAGACAGAGGGACAGAGGGAAGGGTTCAAGTGACTGATAAATCCCATTGCTCAGGGATCCAGAGAGTTCAGTTTTTACCAGAAAGGGTAGACGTAGGAATTTCTGTAAAAGTTACATGATCTGCATTCTTTCAGGTATCAGAGTACTCTTCCTACTACTGTTTTTCCCTGCTACATTCCCACCCTGCTCCTGCCATCCCATGTGGATTTGGTACCCGGAGCTCCTACAGCTAATAAAGAGGGGGAAAGAAAGTGGTTTAGAAAATGCTCTTTGACATCTCATGTTATCTATTGTACTTTTAGCCCATCCCCGGTGTCTGGAAAATACCCAACCTGATACAATGAAGAAGTAAATGTATCAAATGTTACCTAAGTTGTGAAAAAGTCTTGGATAATAAGCTGCTTAACATAAGAGAAATGTACTAACTGAAGAACATAGTGAAAGTTTGTAGACAGTGCTGCAAGCCCCCAGCACAGGAGAGTGAGAAGAGACACATTTGAACATTTCTGCTTGTTCCATTTTGGAGACACTGCTGAAAGACTACATGAATATAAGAAAAAATGTGTTCATAAGTAGGTTTTGGAATGGTGTATCATTGGTGTTTCATTTTTTTGTTGTCACTTAGAACCTTGTTGTACACTTTCTAATTTCTTTGCTAAACTAACACACACTCCTCTCACCCATTAGCTCCCACAAAGCCAGTTGAGTTAAAGCTGACACATTCAGGTTATAATATTTCCCCGAAGATAAATCTACACTTAGGTCCCTCCAGGGAACTTGCACACACTGATATGTTGAAAGGGAAATTGGCAACACCCTCTTGTCAAGCTCCCAGGGCAATTAGGATGGTAAGAAGGCCAGGTAGAGCATCGAGAAGCCTACCCAGTACCCACATCCTCTCACAGCTCCAAGCAATGTGCAGAATCACCCCGTAATGTGGTCAAACTGGTTTTTAATCACTGCTTATTAGCCAACCTTGGCAGTCAGAAGGCAACAATAAGATATTTGGAAAATAATTTGTGTTGTCTGTTTGCACTGGACAAAGAGAGAAGGTGGCAGCAAATAAGAAAGGGTCACTCATGCACATTCAGAAAGGAACCTCAGAAGAGGAGTGACATTGGACAGGAAAAGCAACAGTCGAGGGTGGAGAAAGTTTTGCTTGGAGAAGCTGACCAAAGTGGAGGATTGCATTGAACAGGACAACACTCTCAGATGCCAAGAACTAACAAAATCCAGAACTCAGTAAACATTTGTTTGCAGCTTATGTTAATTGGAATAAAGGCAGAGCCTGGAGAATCTGTAATCAAGAGACTGCAGACTTCACCTTGCCTAAGTCATCAGAAAAAGGCTTTGATTCCACTCAGCCCTTCAATAAACAGATTCTACACTAAAATCTCCAACAAACGATAACTAAGCAGGGAAGTGGACAGAAAAGCACTAACTTCCATAAGCAATAGGAACTCAGTGCCCTCAGTTGCTGCAAGTTGGTATTTTGGGTCAAATTTGCATACCAGGAGACAATGCAAGCACTACTCACCTGCTTTGTTCTGTGTGTTACATGGGAAAAGAGATGAGTGGAAGAGCTGACACAGACCTGTATCCCAAGAGATGTTGGATATACTATATAACCATTACTATATAACTCATGCTGAGAAACATAAATAGTTAAAATATTTTGAAGCAAGGTTTAGGCCATAGCAAATCGCCCACACAAAGTTAATGTAAATGTAGGCTTAAATCCATGTGTATCTTAGTTCCCTGACTGTTAAGGAGAGAGAACCACAAAGACCTGAAAATAATCTGCAGGGTTTTTATTAAATGAGAAGCACCATAGAAAGGGCCAGACATGTGGTGATGCACAAGACGTTACAATAACTAACAAGATGTATTCAGTAGAAGATTTGGATGAAGTATGGTACCTAAACAGGGGCCCCCTGGTGGTCTAGTGGTTAGGATGCAGTGCTCTCACTGCTGCGGCCTGGGTTTGATTCCCGGTCAGGGAACTCCTCTGGGCAGATGGAGCTCGTCAGCCCTGTAAGGCCATCCATCTAAGAGAAGGTCACTCTAAACAAACCTACGTCCTGAGGACCTCGCTGCCACCGTCCGAGCTCGCTCGGCCCCGGCAGATGAACTTTAGGATTAAAGGGTGGGCTCAGTTCAGCGCACACTGTGTCTCACCTAAAAAATCCACTGCGCAGGCTCGAAGGGTAATGACCTTTCCCAAATCTTCGTTCGTGAAGACTGGCCATGATGATGGTACCTAAACCCTGGAGAGGTTCTCTGAACCCTGAAGAGGAGATAGGAAACACATAGAAAAAAGGTAAGTCAGTGATCACGTGGTTAGTTTATGTGTAGAGAGCAATGATGGGACTGTACAATAAAATCTGTATTAGGCTTTTCCTAATAATGCATTACTTTACTCAGATAATTTCTTCCTTAAGACTTCGCAGGTGATCATTAATTTAACAGCAGTGATGTACACACTGTTGTACATACGTGACAAGTATGCAGTAAAGCACAGCACATGCTAAAAGTCAAGACAAAGTTTACTTAAGGCAACACTAAACTCAAACAGGCTTAACCAGCTGATCCAAGTAACAGGGTGTGATCACCAAGCAGATGGTTGGAGGAAGTCCAGCTCTGGGGCCCCAAGCATAGGAAGGATGGGGACCTGCTGGAGTGAGTCCAGAGGACCATGAGGACGATCAGAGGTTCAAACATCTTTCCTATGGAGACAGACTGAGCGAGCTGGGGCAGTTCAGCATGGAGAAGAGAAGGCTCCAAGGAGGCCTTATAGCACCTTCCGCTACCTAAAGGGGGGGCTACAGGAAAAATGGAGAAAGACTTTTTGCAAAGGAATGTAATGACAGGAAAAGGGGGAATGGTTTCAAACGGAGAGTAGGTTTAGATTACACATTAGGAAAAAATTCTTTGCTGTGAGGGTGGTGAGGCACTGGAACAGGTTGACCAGAGAAGCTGTGGATGCCCCATCCCTGGAAGTGTCCAAGGTCAGGCTGGATAGGTCTTTGAGAAACCTGGTCTGGTGGAAGGTGTCCCTGCCCATGACAGGGGGGTTGAAACTGATTGATCTTTAGTCCCTTCCAATCTAAACCATTCTATGAGTCTATGAAGTATACACCTGTGCTAAAGCCAGAAGCTAACCTTTAACTCTGGGTGGATGATAGCAGTGGACCACAGCTCAGGGTGGAAAGACATACAGTGTTGAAGACAGATAAAGAAGTCTCTATCCAGTCTGATCCTAAAATCAGACTAAATAGCTTAAAACATCAAAGTGGAGAAACAAAGATACTAATCTGCGTTAATTGGAAAATAAAGGTAGAGAAAAAATTAGGGTACCAAAAGGGAAAATGAAGAATGGAGGACAATGAAAAGGAAATAACCCACTAATATAATGTTTTCTATTAGTTTGTTTCAGAGCACAACCCTCAGTGGGTTGTCAGGCAGCCTGTCAATTCTGCATGTGGTCTAAGGGTGCAATTCCTCCCGTAGCCTGTGGCTTTAGATGCCAGCTCTGGTATTTCATGATAACCTACAGCTAAAGGCTGAATAGCCTGGACAAATGGGCTAGTACTGCATGTGCTTTGGTTCCGAGGTCTAGGACACCAGTTGTCTCAAAACTTGCAAGGTGGAAAGGCACTCATCCTCCTGGTCCTCCACTGGACAGTCCTGTTGCACTTTTCTGCTTTTCCTCCTCTCCTGCAGAAGTTCCTTGAGCAGGTCACACAATCCTCCTTTAGCTTTCCTCTGTAGGCTAGCTCTTTCAAGTTACAGTGTTCCTTCCTTGTTCTTATTTTCAGGTTTTCCTGGGAACAAGAAAGAGGACTACCCAATATTGCATGTTCTCCATATTGTCCTGGAAGAGTGTTGTTATTTTTTAAGTACAGTACCCTACCTTTGTTTCTATTTGACTTTCCAGTTTGTTTCTTCTAACAACCTATTTCGCTCTTGCTCTGTAACATAAGCATCATAAACAAAACAGTTATGCACTTTACTGCTAAAAAGAATTTATGCAGCACATCCTAGTACACTGAAAACATTTATCTAGCACAGATCAGCTGGGGGAGTTATTAATGCCACAAGAGTCTGGTTTTGAATAAAAGAACAAAAAAGAAAATAGCAAGTTATTATTAAGTATCAGCAGGAATTTAGTTGGTTTTAACATTTTTATTAAATTCCCTTTTCTATAATAGTTTTGTGTCTTACTTGGTCTCCTCCTCAGTCCTTCAGTCTTACAGGTATAATGGAAAAGACCTAGAATTTTTAGAGGGACTTTATTAGGTGTAAAGAGTGAAAGCACAGAAGAGAAAACAAAACCCAAAAGATCAGAGTAAGTTTCCATGGGGCTTCTTGCACTCCTGCAAAACATGATTCAGGTCCATAAATCTTCAGTTTGAGAATTGCTCATTTGCAGTTTAGCAGGTCCTGTAATTTTTCCAAATCCCAGCATACCCATAAGCAAAATAAGAGTCACACTGCTTTCTGCAACTTTTGGTGATGTTTACCTTATTTTACTTTTAACCCCAAGGCACATGAGAATATTGTAATATTCTTATATGAACGGAGAATTGCTACACAGCACCGTCTTTTTATGCGACCAAAAGGAAATCTCAGTGAAGTTGCTAATACTTATCATATTACTGTATTTTAAACTCAGGTATAGAATTTTGCCCTGTTTGCACCCAAGAATTAATTTCTCACACTTGTTGTTAAGAACCATTTCTTAAGGATGTCTGGCACTGTTAGTAGTCTTCATTAATTTAAAAGCACCATATCCCTTCATGTGACAGAGAGACAGACAACAGCAAAAGCAAAGGCATATAGTGCTTTCGGAAGACTCCATAAAAGAGTTTGGCGAAATAAACACCTGAAGAAAAGTAGCAAGATCAGTGTTTACAGAGCCATTGTGCTGTCTACTCTCTTATATGGATCCGAATCATGGGTCATCTACCGCCACCACCTGCGGCTCCTAGAACACTTCCATCAACTCTGTCTCCGTACAATCCTAAACATCCTCTGGTCAGATTATGTGACTAATACATCTGTTCTAGAACAAGCAGCAGTACCTCAGAACAAGGTATTGAGGCCATGTTGATGAGAACACAGCTGCATTGGGCAGGACATGTGTCCAGGATGAAGGACTACTGCCTTCCTGAGATCATGCTCTATGGTGAACTTGCCACCGGCTGCCGCAAGAGAGGAGCCCCAAAGAGAAGACACAAGGACCCCCTGAAACAACATCTTAGCCTTGGCCATATTGATCACCATAACTGGTCTACTCTGGCCTCCAATCGGGAGGTCTGGAAACACACCGTCTGTAACGCTGCTGATGCTTTTGAGAATGCACGCAGGATCACTCGTGAGGAGAAAAGACAACGCAGAAAGAATCATGTCTTGCTGAATATACCACCTACAGAGTCTTTCTGCTGTGCCTTTTGCAATCAGACTTGTCTATCTCGTAGTGGCCTTCTTAGCCACCAGCGCGCTTGTAACAAGTGTAGGTAGAGACCTTCCCAAATCTTCGTTCGCGAAGCTTAGCCATGATGATCCCTTCATGTTATGTAACACCTGTCCCAACAGTCCCCCTGTTCTCTGTAAAACCCAAGACATATCGTGCAGATACAGCAAACAAAGAAAGGAAAAGAAGAGGCCTGGAACACGTGGCATAGGAGGAGGGTCAGGGATCTGGGATTGTTGTGCTTGTTCTCAGAGGTGAAAGCTAAGTGGGGACATTGATTGCTACCTTCAGCTGTCTGTTTGGAGGTTAACATGAACTAGACCCCCAGAAGTACAGAAAATCAGGGCAAAAGACAAGATGAAACAGTCACATGTGACATCAAGGGAAATTTCAATTCCATACATGAGGAAAAAAAATCTCTTTGCTTGCAGTTGAGCACAGTGATGGCCTGTCTGAGGAGGCTGCCCACTTTCCATCTGTGAATATTTTCAGACCCCAGCAGTCCAAACCCTGAACACCAGGGTCTAGCTTTGGCATTAGCCATACTTTGAGCAGAAGACTAGAGTATGTAACCTCCAGAGATCTCTTTTAACTGTATTTTATGATTCTATTAAACAAGATGAAAACTTTTATCACCAAAAAAAAAAAAAAAAAAAAAGTTAAAATTACATGACAAACCTTATAATGGGATTATGGATTAGATATTATTCTCCCTCTTCTCCTCACCTCTGCCTTTAATAAGACAGTTGCTGGAAAGAATAAAAGGTATTTCAGCAGTTAAATTTAAATTCTTTGCAAGATGCCTTCCCCCCAAGACACTGACAGATCCATAGCACAATGCTCTGCTTACATTTATTTTTTCCTTAGGTGAAGATAAGACACACACAAAAAAAGTATCTTTAGAAGACTGATTAGTACTTTTTGGCATACTTAGGAGCTAATACAGATTTGAAGAAGGCATGGAGAACCTCAGCACTAGTTGTAATGCTGAGTCAGACGCAGAGGAGTTGCTGGGAAGACTCAGCCCAGCAGAGGAAGTTCCCAGGACTACATCGCAGCCAGTAAATTATATTTAGTTGGCAAGAACATTGCGCACACACCATAAATTCCAGGGTACAGTTACAGCGGGGAGCTGCTGCCCTTAGATCAGTCTCTCTCTCTCTCTGTCACACACACACACACCCCCCCACCCACACACACACACACCCACCCCCTCCCTTCCGGGGTAGCCGTGCGAAGGTGGTGGCATCACGTCGGTGCATAAAATCCGTTTCTGAGTTTTGATAATCGCATCTGAAATCAATGGTGTGATGTACTGGGACTTTGGGGGAGGGGTGTGTCTTTTTTTTTTGTGGTTTTTTTTTTTTTTTTTTTTTTTTTTTTTTTTTAACGTATTGAGCAATTTTCGGGGGTTGGAGCTGGCCGCGTGCGTGCCCTCCTCCTTGCCGTCTTTCATACAGGGCACTCGCTACCTGATCACTCGAACAAGGCGGACATTCCTTGCAGGGACGTATGTTCCAGGCCCCACGGTTCCCCTTATTCCTCCCCCCCCCCCCCCCCGGCGCATCAGCACGGTCGGCGCCCGGGGCTCCCCCAAATGACACAGGATCCCGCTTTGCCCGGGCGGGGCAGCGCCCCCAGACTCCATTTTGCGCTCGGAAAGGGCTCGCAGCCGGCGGAAGATGGTTCCCCGGCGCTCGCCACCGCCCCCGGGCGCGGCGCCACAGGGACGGGCGGCGGGGGCCGGGGCCGGGGCGGCGCCTGCGCTGGGCCGCAGGGAGCAGCGGGGCTGCGGCGGAGGGCGGGCGAGCAGCGCCGCCACCACCACCTCCACAGCCATGGCCGCGGCGATGCGGCAGAGGTTCGACCGCTTCCTGCACGAGAAGAACTGTATGACCGCCGTGCTCGAGCGCATCGAGGCCAAGACCGGCGTCAGCCGCACCTACATCGCCACCGGTGAGCCCCGCGCCTTGCCCGCGCCCCGCTCCACCCCGCCGGGAGCTGACGGCTCTCTGCTCTCTCCTCAGGCATCCTCGGCGCCGTGGCCGTGTACCTGGTAGTGGGATACGGCGCATCCCTGCTCTGCAACATCATCGGCTTCGGCTACCCCGCCTACGTGTCGTGAGTGTCGCGACTCTTGCCCTTCTTTGCCGCGTGTTGCAAAATCAAAAATCGCATACCTCGCGGCTGGTGCCGAGTCTGCCAGGGTGGCATCCCCGGGGCCGTACTCCGGAGGATTGTTTTTCCCGCTCCCCCCTTTTCCTTGGGATGTCCAGGTGCAAGGTGCTGAGTAAAGGACGAGACTTCTTCCACTTCTTCCATCTGGCGAGGGCTGCGTCGTAAATTACCCATGGGAGACGCTGGGTAGTTTCCACGCTTGATAAACAGATCTCGTAGCGCGTTATATTTTGCGTTGGGGTTCACAGCATTTTCATCTTCAGAGTGAGATAGATCTTCGGTAAGCTGGGTCTTACCTGGCTGCTGGTAACAGTAGGGAGAATCGCTGTAGCAACGCTGTTCGCTAAAACTCGCACTGATGTTTTAGAGTTGAGGACACTCCCGGGTGTCCTGGAAGGCACTGGTGCAGTGCCAGCATCTGTAGATACAAAGTACCGGGTAATGTAGCGGGCTGGGGTTAGAGGTGCATTAAGGCGTGTTATTTACTCCAAACCCACCTAGCTGATGGGGAGGTGGGGGAAAGGAAAAGACTGTAACTCCTCTTGAGTGTAAAACACCTTAAAATGCTTCATTTTTTGAAGGAAGGCCTCCTTAGATATTCTTCAAAACAAAACGTGTTAACCTTTCACATGCATTATATTGTTCTTAGACCAAAGTATCTTTCCTGTGAAGACCACAGCGGAGTATGTTCCAAACTCCCGCAGAAATGTGCTAAATAAAACCTTCTGTGTGTAACCTAATACACTCATAAAATGGAAGTCCTTCCCAGCTGTACTTCTGTATTGTTGAAATACAGTACTTGCCTTTTATGTAACTATTTAAATACAGTCAGCAGCTTTTAAAAATATGTTCTCTGCCATTGGATCCTGAGCATGTCAAATCCTGGTTCCTTCACTATTATTTTTTCAGTGATATGAGATTGACTTACTTTTAGACTCTTGAAACATCTTATGGTTGTGATGCTTAAAACCAACCAACAGTTTCTAGTGTTTGCTGATTTAGGAGATCACAAACGAAGAACTCTGGAGCAACTGAAGTTTTGTTTTCTAAAAAGTAATTAAATATTGGTCAGAAAGTATTTCTTTCAATAAAATCTGAATGTGAAAATATCAGCCAACAAAGCTTCAAAACCTTCACAACAAAGTTGTGTAGGAATTACGTTTATGTAATATTTTGTATCTGACTCAGGTCACTTTTCAAATTATGTAATTACTTTGGAAAATCCTATTTAAATTTTTAAATTTCTTTTGAAACTGTTTTGGGATTGTATCTTAAATCTTCCAATATGGAGTGATGGTAAGTAAATTGGTAAAACAAGCTCCTAGAACTGCAGAAGCAAGACAGTAGCAAATTAAATATGAATTAATAGGGTTTCTCTTCCAATTTTTTTCTTTCAAGTCTGAAAATTTTTTAAAAATCCTTTTGTAGAGTGTCTACTCTTTTTCACGTTGGAATGCGGTTTTAAATGTGTCTTAATGTGAAAAGTTACCTCCCACGTGTTAGTACTGTGGGATGTTTGGGTTTTAACTTTTTTTTTTTTTTGAATAATGGGATAATTGTCTTTGGCTACAAATTTTACTTAAACAAAAAAATATGCTGAATAACACGCACATGGATACAATGCCAGCTCTGTTTTTTCCAGCTCATGCTCCGGTAATGCTTTTCCTTCAGCTGCCTTTTTAGTGCTGAAATATTTATGACAAAATTATATGAGAAATTTTATGAGAAACTTATAATCTTGAGTGAAAATCTAATTTAAAATGCATGTGATGTGCTGCATGCCAGTGTCCTTCAGTGGCAGCCTGCAGACAGGTTCCAGCCCATGGAGCAGTCTGCTGACAGCGCAGGTGGGCTTAACCTTCCCTCCCAAATCCAGAGCTGGTACGGGGCGTTTTCCCACATTTTGCTCTGCCTACTTTTGTTTTTGCTGCTCTGGATCATGTACTGCAGTCAGGGTGCTGTCCCCTGTGCTTATAAAGTATAGAGACCCAAAGCATAAAGAGTGCTAGCCACAGTGGTTTGCTTATTCCTCTCTCCTATTTTGCCTCTCCCCCTTGAAAAGGCAGCTGAAGAGCCTACTATATGAACTAACAGTGGTGATTTTGCTTCCTAGCATTGGACAGAAAATAGTTTTCAGCTGTTTTCATCAGCTGCACACACCCCCTCAAATGCTCTTGCTGTAAAAGCTGTGGCTTCTGGAAGAGGTCAGGAGCTGTAAATGGGATGTATTGTGCAAGGTGTTAGTTTGATGTTTACACAAGTGTTTCAACAATGGACCCAAGCCTGAAATGTCTCAGAAAGGCACTGAAAGAGAAAAAACAGATTACTTTCCCCCAGATGACTTACTTTCGTCTCTTGTGGAGTAGGTCAGTGTATCATTTCTCCATTGTCAGTGACTGAATTGTTTATCTGGGAAATGATGAATCGTAGAATGGTTTTGGTTGGAAGAAACCTTAACCATCATCTAGTTCCAGCCCACCTGCCATGGGCAGGGCCAAAGTACTGGGTCCAGCTTCTCTTCAGCAGAAAAGATACTTGTAAAGGAGTGGGACAGATGTCTGTGTTCTGCAAGAAACATCACCTCCTGTCCTCACTGTTGTTTAAAATGGCACACAGGCTTCCAGGTGGTTGACCCACTAGCATATTCCAAATCTGTTTTACTGGGAATTCAGTTCTGGGTTACCTTGGTCATGGTAGTTTTACTCTACACCTGCCTGAAAGAAAATATACTGGAAACAAAACAAACCCTGAGAAGGATAACTCAGCTCAGATTTCCGTCTGTTCATACAGGAAACCAGGACAGTTTTGTGGGCGTGCAGGTCCCTGCCTGTCAGGCCTTGTGTAATTGCAGTTTATTTTCTTTGGTTTATGTCACTCTCTGTATTCATTGTCAGTGTGTGCCATGCAGCAGATGAGGAATTCAGTGGAGAAAAGCTGGAGGCTGTGGCTGCTGGGTTAGACAGCAGATGGTGTGAAGGGGCACAGCTGCAGCTGCACTGCTGCCCACTTTCACATCACTGTGGCACAAAGCCAGTGCAAGGGGAGGGGGCAACTCCCTGCTTAATGCCCGATACAGCTTCTGGCAGGTACAGCTGTTTCCCTCCTCATTCCCCCTTGTTCACCTTCAGCTTTGCTTTGTACATGATTTAAGTGTTTTTATCCATAGAGGAGTTTCTTCTTTAGCAATACAATGAGAGTCTGTGGCATGTCACAGCAAGGGCCCACCTGAGTCTCTTAACGTAGACAAAATTAATCCGTAGTTTTCTGGCTGTTTTCCAGTAAGTCAGACAGTGTCTCATCTCATTCCTGAAAATTTTCTGCAAGTTCTGTATGATGAAACACAATAATTCCTTTAAGTTGAATTCTAATATTTGTTTTGCAGGCTCTTGTGGAAATTGAAAAGTTTTGGTCCCCCAAAAGTAGAAAAGTAGACCAGCATTGAAAAGTTTACCAGGAATGATAGAAGCAACTTTTAATACTTCTAGCGAGCAATACTTCTGCACAAGGCAATGATCTGGCTAGTAGATGGAAAAAGTGAATGTTGGCAAGTAGGTAAACACCACTGCCAGAGTTTTCACTGCTTCTCTAAACTTTCCAGAGCTAGCATGTTTAAATGTAGCTCCACCCGTAGCTAGTGGTGGTTAACTGCCTCAGAAAAATTAGAGTGCGAGCAGGAAGGGAGCCTTTGATGACTAAGAAATGTGTGCAAAGGTTTGGAAATTTTGTAAATGCTGTCACGGTTGGTTTAAAAATTGCAAAGTTGAAAATAGCTGTGGGCAGTGAAATGTCTGAACTTATTACTAGTGTCTTCAAGGGACAAAAGCAGCGTAGTACAATCATGCCTCTCTCTGCATTGGCTAATTTTATGCTGTTACTTCACTTTAGCTGTTTTTACTATGTAAATGTTGTTCGTGGCATTTTATAAGCAGGAAACAATCTACATTGGTTGTATAGAAGTGTAAACACTCAAGCCAAGTCTTAATTTGAATATTGTTGTGGTGTCTTGAGTCTGTCTCCTAGTTCCTCTGCTTCTTTCATACCTTTAAAACAGGAACATCGCTTTTTTTTGGTTGCAGTTATTTAGAAAACATAATCAGTCCTGTGTTTGTTGAGAGCCAGGGCAGCAAATTTGCTTTCTCTTGACAAGTTTTGCGGCAAGTGGTTACTTTTTTCCTCCATGAAAAATGATTCATGATGTGCTAAAGTTCAGAAGTAAAGCTCTGCTGCTGCTTTATGAATGTGATTTGAGAGAACTGGTATATCTAACCAGATTCACAATGCCCAATGTAAATATAATCAGAAAATTTCCAAATCCCCCTGCACATGTGCTGTTTTCTTTCATGACTGATAATCTTTTCATGGGGCTTCAGACACTAAAAAGTATAATTTGACTTTTTTGTCAAATACTCTGCCAAATCAGTTCCTCAAAGAATGCTCGCTTTTTGTCTTTTAGGTTTTAGAGTGCTTTGTTTGAAATAATAGCCATCTTACCTGTTGTTTGGACAAATTATTTGCATTCTTTTCTAGAGATAGCAAGTGGTTAAGTGCAGAGAGTCTAGTATTATGATAGCTGTAGGAAGATTTGAATTTTTCTTTCATATCTAAATCTAGGCAAAAAATCTAAAGATATTTGTTATACTGATGGATCCACTCTGAATTGAGGCACTGACACATCTGAATCCCAGCAATAGAGCCAGCATGTGTGGGGGAATGTGTTTTGGGGAAGCTGGTTTTGGCTTGAGTCAGAGCTGGGGAGCTTGCTCGATGGTTGGCTCTGCAGATTCTTGTTCCAGGAGAAAGGGGGCCAAGAATGAACAGAAAACAGGGAAATAAAAGTATTGATGCTTCTTTTTTTTCTCCCAGGAACCTAGTTTTGCACTGAGTTAACATGTAGACTGTGGGACTGACTTCACTGGTGGGCAAAATCATGTGTGGTCCTTCTGCTGCCTTAGTCTATTTCCTTTTAAGAAATACAGAGAGAAACTTCTATTACTGTCATATAGTTTGTTGGTGTACTCTAATTATGTTTGTCCCTGCATGGACAGTGAAGCCTCCCCTTGCTCTCCATTAATTTGCTTGCTGCCATCTGCTAGGTACACAAAATTCTGAGAGAAGGGAACTGGTAGACTTAAACTGCAGCAGCTGTGTTAAGTGCCTTTGGCAGGAAGATCTTTTCAATATCTGTAAGTGCATGGGTCTGCTATGGCAGACAGTGAGGAGGAGGAGGAAGGATGGAAGACAGAAGGCTTTTAGCTGACGGATGAAAATGTAGAAGCCAAAATGATAAAGTGAATCCAAATACGCAGGTACTGGTGTCACTGAAATGATGTGAGATGTCACGGAGGCAGCCTGCCAAGAGGAGTCTGGAATGAGGATGACAGGGAGGCACCAGGCCGTGGTGCAGTGGATTGTTGACTCTGTGGGGGTGTCTGGGTAGATAGCTAGAAGTAAATTATTTTATAACCTGCTCTAAAGAGGTGGGGCAGACCAGTAAGTATAAGCTCTAGAAGTATAGGTAGTTTCAGGGTTTTTTAAGTTAAATGCAAAAAAAAAAAAAAAAAAAAAAAAAAAAAAAGGGTTATGCTTGGCTAAAAGGGTGATAAATATGCCTGACTACTTATTCAGTATAGCTCTGATTAGAAAATTGAAGGAAAATGGTCCAGTCTTTCCTAACTATAACATGAGCACTGGGTTTAAGGGATGCTGATCTTTTATCTCAAGCTTGTTGACTGACTTTATACAAAAGTTACACCTTGTAAATTGCAGGGATAAGAGTGATTACTTCAAATGAGACTACAGCGCTACAGTTTGGCATTTCTTTAATTCTGCCTCCCATGTCTTGGCTCAGCTCAATAAAACCCCCCACCCAAATTCATGACTTAACCTGTGAGTACTATGTGTATGAATTAACTGTAAGCAATGATTTGTTATTCCAGAGCTAGTTCAGGAGTAACACTGTCTTCTTGGAAAAGAGTTGGTTTTTTTGTTTGTTTAAATGAGTCAGATGCTTTAAGTGAAAGAACTTGGCAACTTACTAAAATTAGACTAGTTTGTGTTACTATCATGTAACAGGATAAAGTAACCACACTTGATCTAGCCCTGAGTTTGACTGATTCTAGGATGCACAAGGTCAGAACTGTGCCCATGCTCTGATACTGTAGCTACATAGTGGCTAGAAGTCCTGGGCTTCTTTAGGATATGACAGTCCGTGCTCCTTCTTCACCGTTGGCACCACCAGCTAGAGGGGTTATCAGGGAACAGATCTGGCTGAAAAGCTTTTCTTGTCTCTCCGTCTGTCTGCACAAGTTGCAGTGCTGGCCCATGGCAGGCCCTTTTCGCTGTTGGACAGGCATTTATATTTAAAATAACTGAGCTGTGGTATTTACCACCTGGTATTCTGGAAGGTGTTCCTAGTGACTGCTCTTACCTCCAGTGTGCAGAACTACTGTAAACAGTTGTTTGGGGCTTTAAGTCCTCTATAGTTAGTGTGTAAGCACTATAAAAAAATCCTCAGTGATATGTAATTACTGCACATAAGCAACATGGAATTTAGTCAAATCAGCATTAGACAAAACTTTTAAAAAATGACAGTATCACTTTCTTTTTAAATGTGAAGCTATATAGGCTTTGGATGGCCCTTCATTTGTTAGGAAGTCTTAATGTTATGTGCTAATGAGATTGACTTAATTGCTTTTGCAATGTAGAAATAACTTAAAAAAAGGTGATCCTAAAGCTGAACGTAGTGTCAATGCCTCTTGTTTGTATCTTTTCACTCATTGATGGAGATTGCATTTTGAGTATCAGGCTGATTGATTCGTGACTTAAAATGGAGAAGAATAAAATGTTCTTGGCTTGAAGTAATGTATATGGTGTCTCTCCTGAGGTTAATTGTACAGGACATTACACCAGGATAATACCTGTAGAATAACTTAAAAAACTAAGTTTAATTATGGTGTGATTCTCATGTTCAAAAGAGTGTAGTTATAAATGGATAAAACACGCTATCTGTTCAGATATTCTACATCATATAGTCAGATATTCTACATAATATATCAGCATAAGGTATCTGTGCTTGCTCTTGGACAAGTACTATTTTCTGTGACTTACTTTTGAAATAGTGTGTAAGCAGCAAATGATGGAGATAAATAAAAGGGCAAAAGTTAACAGGGACATATTACACTGGATTTCCACTGACAGTCTCATCTGAGGGATATATTTTCCATTCAGAAGCAGAATATTTATAAAATACTTGCCGTTCCTTGACTTCAGCTAAAACTTTTATTCACTGACATTCTGCTGTATCTACTTTTCCTTCCTCCCTCTCTCTCTGATTGGGACTGGAGCCATAGCTACCAGGTGCAGCTTGAGCTGATGTGACTGTTACCCGGCGGGTGTGGTAGGGGTCTGCATCTGACCTAGTGCCTACCTGGATAAGATCATTTTACAAGGAGGGGAAATGTGCAGTTCCCTACAGTGCGCAAGAAAACAACCACATGTGGATTTAGAGGTGCATCAGCTGGCTAAATCACATGGGGTTTTGCCTACTTGTAGTACTGCTGCTTGTGACTCTCTCACAATAAAAGCATGTTGTTCATGTATCCCCTTAAGGAAACTACAGCAGCAGATGGCCAACATTCACAGGGAGCACGCCCTTGGCATGCATTTAGGAACTCTAAAAGGCCATTTGTTTCTACAGGAGAGAAGATAAAGAGCGTTGGCCATTAACACAGTGATATGCTATCTGCCTTTTGCCACAAAATTGGAGATTCTGAGCGTTTTCTTTTTATGAAAACTGATTTTTGTGACTACTGAGCATTAAACAGTGCTCCCTTAAATCCGTGTATGGCTTTAGATGGTGACTAGAAAAGAGCAAGACTGTTGGCAGTTTAACTGCAAAACATTTTCTCCCAAGCACCAAACTAGCATGCTTATTGTGGGAAAATAAGCCTTATCCTGTATGCCTCTATTGGAGAAGTTGTCAGCAGAACTAAAGAAACTCACATGATGAATCTCTACAGCACGTTTTCATTGATACTGAGAAACTTTGCAATTAGTTCCTTTCTCTGCTCCGTTTATCCACCACTCATTAACATCCCTATTAGTCCTTGTACTTTTTCTTTCCCTCCAGAAGTACAGTTTCACACCTTGGAAACAGATCAATAGCCCTCTTCCTTAATTCTTATGGTGTTTCAGGGTGGGTTTTTTTTGTACAGCCCTCTCACCTAGTGTTATTACAATACTTCAGAGATGGGTGGGCATAGAAAAGATGTGGTTTATAGTGGGAGCAGAAGCAGCTGAAGTTGGCACTGTGAGCAGAGTGCTTTGGACTCCTGTTGCCTAACACTGAGTGTTTCTTAATAGGAAAACCTGTTCTTCCAGTTGTGCTGGTGCTGTACCTCAGTAAGATCACCTTATTGTGCAGGATGGGGTATGGCAGGGGCTGCTGCTTTTCCCACTGCAGGGCACTGATGACCACCCAAAAACCCGAGCAGAAATAATGTATAAGTTAAGTATCAAATCCTCTTCTTGCATTTCAAAGTAACTCAATCCAGTAGCTGTACCAGTTCCCTCTGCAAGTGGTGATTCTGCCAGTGCTTTTGCCATAACGTAAGGCATGTCACATGAATGATTTCCCCCAGCTCCCCCTCCCTCCCCCGTTATGTACAGAACCAGGCAGTGACGGAATCTACAAGGTTTCTTAATTCACAAACCAGGAAATGGACTTACAGCCAACTCTCTGATCTCTGTTTTGTAAACCTCCCTGACTCTCAACCTTTTCCAGGGAACTAGCAGAAAACTTTGCACCTCTGATATATCCCATAGGTGCTGCTTCAGCAACAAAATATCTGAAATTAAAGGAATAAGTGATAGAAGAATTGAAACTAAATTCATTAAAATGAGTCTACAGATTTTAATCCTATGGCATGACTGGAGAGGACAAATGCTTTTTAATACTCTTAAGCTTCACATTATCAGGCTTAGATTTGCTAGCACTTCCTTTTAAAACTTCTTACAGTGCTAATCTGGAGCTTAATGAGTCCAGAGTCTCCACTTAACTACTTTTACTGAAGAAGCATAAGTGCATCTTTCAGCTCCCAGTTTTCAGAAGTGTATAAACTTGAACTGCATTCTCCTAGCAGCTGGAGAACAAAAGCCCATTAAATCATTGTGCAGGAAGCCCAGTACTTTACTGGCGGTTGCGCTTCTTGATACCGTAGCCCACATCAGAGTTTGCAAGTCCTGTAGGTATTAGTTTTTGGATCAAAACAATTGGTGATGGAGATAAGTAGTCCTTAGAGCAAATCTTATGGATAAGTTTACCTTTTCAAAGAGGAATCTAGTGTATGTACATATAAGTAAATTTAAAATGCTGTTTATTAGAGCTAACTCTGTAAAAAAACAGAGAATAGTGATGACAGTCTTGTATCACTGTAGATGCTGAGGACCCCAAGTTGTGCAGCACCGAAGCACTGTGCAGACCTCTTCTGTAGGCAAGGTTACCCCATTTTGATAATTTAAGCTATTGTAGGATTTTTCATTCAAGGCAACAATTCTATTAATCACTCCTTTACGACTGTCTTAAGAAGGAGGGTGGTCCTGTTAGTTACAGGCAAGGCCAGGCAGGTGTTGTGATCATACTCACACAGCTTGAGTATCTTTTCTTTTTGAAGTATGACATAGGGAGAAGCTTGTCTGCTTGAAGATCTGGGCACATTGTCTGTATGATAGATACTAATTAGTTTTCTTGGAGTAATTAAATTATGAGGATTCACACATAACAACAAATCATAAAAAGTTCACCATTAGAGATGCTACTGTTCTGCTCACTTGTTTGTTTTTTTTTTCCTTGCAGAATCAAGGCCATTGAAAGTCCCAACAAAGATGATGACACACAGTGGCTGACTTACTGGGTTGTGTATGGTGTTTTCAGTATAGCTGAATTCTTCTCTGATATCTTTCTGTCCTGGTTCCCTTTCTACTACATGATGAAGGTATGTTAGTTCATGTGACCCCTCTCCTGAAAAATGAGACCTTTGATTTAACGTCTCCAAGGATGGATAGATGACAGCAGATTCATTTGGAATCATTCCAGGGTCACACCTTATTTTTAGATGCTGGTTATGTGTAATTTAGTAATATGAAAGTGATCTGTTTACAGCTAATGGTTTTGTGAGGCAAGAAGAGGAAATTGGGATGGGTGGCAGGGGAAGGTCTGCTGTGTTTTAGAAAAAAAAGAGAGTGTAACTGTCCCATAAAGAAAAAACTCAAAGACAGTTCTTGGTGTTCAGGTGAATTTGGACAAAATGAAAGCACATGGTAAACCCCACAGAGTGGCTCTACCTTTGCTTTAAGTGCATTAGTAAAAGTGGAGAGTAAAATCACAAAGGCAGCAAAAGGAGGTATTAACATCTGTACTGTGGGAGAAAAGAAGGAAACTGCACCACAAGAATAGTTTGAGTCCTACAGACTGAATTTTTAATTAAGCCCAATTTCCTGAAAGGAATTGGTAGGTACCAGAGGAGCTCGTTGCTAATGTGCATTTGTTAGTGTGGTTTGACTACCGACAATGATTTGGTTAATGTGCTTTGTTTGTGAACTAAAGTGTCAATCAACTTTAGCATGTTAAATTATTCTAGGAGATAGCTGATTGCTATGTATGCTGTTGCTTAGAAGATATTCTAGCTTGCTGGATAGTCCACTGTTTAGGTTAAAGAACTGTTACCTATTTCCTGGTTCAGTGGGCTGTTCTCTTCCTTCTCTTTTGTTTTGTTAGCCTGGTTTAGTCCCATTGAATTCTTGAAAAGGATTTTCAAGAATACTGTAGTGGGGTCATTTAGTAGATACTGTAGTGGGGTCATTTAAAATTTTAATAGTAATACCTGATGATGCCTAAAGCTTTTTCCAGGAAATGTCATATTTTGTAGGCAAAAATTGACTTGGTCAGCTTGGTTACACCTCTGCATTGTTTGAATCTTTAACAGACCTCAACTGTGACAATCATTTGTAACTCATTTCCTTAGCTCCCTAAGAAGAAACACATATTTGTACTACTGCTTCAAATAGTATTCTGGTCTGTCTCATGAAGTTAATTCTCTTTCCTCCCCCTTTATTTTTTCCTTTAATAAAAAATGAAAATATGTTTGCAAAATGATTAAGCTTAAAACGGAAAAGTTTTTAAGAAGAATCTGCTAATGTTGAAGTTTAGTGTGGGTAACACATGAAAATTTTACTGGTTTAATATTTTAAGACCAAGCCCAGTAGTGATCAAACTACAGGTTCTTCTGATCTGAATAGAATCCAGAAGGATTGCTTATGGCACTGGAAGAATCTGTTCTTAACCGCTTACCCGCTTATTTCACATCCCCAACTCCCCTTTAGAGTTTAGCAGGATTATGACTTTAACCTATTGTCTTCAGTGGTGTATACTCACAAATCTGAACTCATAGAGTGCATTTTCAGAGCTTCTTTTCTAACTTCTTGGCAGTAAAAGGTGTGGCAATGATTTCTTCCTGCCAACTCAGCTCTCTTTCTGAAGAGTGTGCAATTGAAATTCAGGTTGACCCAGCAAATAAAGACCACAGATGGCTCTGATAAAACTGTACAAGAAGTGCCACATTTACATGTACTGTTGATTTAAGAGAAAGGTACTTTTTCTCAGTTCTGCAAAAGCAAACACAAGGAAGCAATTATGTAATTAGACAAGCTTTCTGTGTAATTACCATAGCTGCAGAAGGCACAATAAAAGTCAAGTATTCGCCCTCAGTAGTGGTTAGTAGGAGAGGTTTGCTTTTGTTATACAAAAGCAGCCAGGTGTTGGCTGAGAATCAGAAAGCATTGCTGACTGGGTGGAAGGATGGAAGTTACTCCACATGGGGAAAAGGAGGAAGCAGGGGTTTTCCACATTTAAGTCCATCCATGAACTCTTGTAGTACAGCTTATGATGTCTCCATGTCTCTTTCATGAAGTAGAAGCTCAGATACATCATTCATGAAAATTTCGAGCTTGCTTTCATTTTCAAAATGTGCTAAATTTGAATATTCACATTTATTTGATACAGCTTGCAGCTTCCACTCCAGACTGAGTTTTAGTTGCTCAGTATTTCTAAACACCTTCCTTACACCTTCAAGTTTTCAGCACACCGGATTTTATAGGTGGGAGAAAGGCATGTTGAAGAACTCCTTTAAATACATTATGATATTTGTATATACTTTTTGTTCTCCACTTAAAAATTATTTGGAGATTTTATTTTTCTCTGAAGCAGAGGACATGCATGCAACTAATGATTTCATGTGTATGTGATTTGTTTTTAAATACTTCTGTTAATAGTTTAAACATTTCTGTGGCATTCGGGTATTAAAGCACAGTAGCCAGTAAAAGCAGCAGTTTATCATCCTAGGAATATTCTTGGTGGTGGGAAGGAGAGAGACTCCTTGATCCACCAACAGTTTTGTCTCAAAATACTAGAATGCTATTTCTGAACAAAATTAGTAGCAGACACGTCATGCTGGGTGCATTGTGCAAACCTTTGCTACGAGGCACTCAGCTCAGAGCAATACAATTGTTAACTGGAAAAAAACCCCACAAAATACGTTCTTTGCAATTCTCCAAACCAGCCAGAGGAGGGAATGGAATTCAGGCAATAAAGTGACTTCCTTGGGCAATCACTTGAGCTCAGTCTAACCCACTTGGATCTACTCCTGGCAGCTGTTTTTACCCTGGCAGCACAAAATGGAATACAGCTGGGTTTGACACTAGAGCTGCTGCTGAGAAACACAGCAAGCATGGCCATGTCCAGCTCCAAGATTCTACAGACAGAAGACTATCAAAACCCAAGAACATATTTTGTGGGGTTTTTTTCCAGTTAACAGGTGTACCACTCAGAGCTTTCTGGGCCTTCTTACAAGCCTCCTTATTTTTAATAGCCTGTATTAGTTCAGTTCCATGAGACACAAGGGGAAAATAAATTTAAGTTAGCAGTCTGACATTCTCAAGGTTTGAAAAGACTGAGATTTGCAACTTTGTTGTGTGTCCTCTTGAAAATGTGTACATGCATCTGTTTCAAATCAGAGGTACATTTAAAAAGTAATAGATATTTGAGAACAAGTCTGTAATTGATTTTTTCTTGACTAGACTAGGACAGAGCTGTAAAATCAAGTTACTAATTTTATTTTTAGACTAGAAAAGGGAAATTTCAATTTCTCTTAGTTTCAGAGGAAGTTGGACTCACATCTGAGGGTTTCTTCTATAACAATGGAGAACTAACATTTTTGTGTATTGGGAGAAGTAGAATAACTATTGGCAATTGACCAGATATTCTTTATACAGGAAATAAAATCAGTATATTTCTCAGCTTTTAATGAAAGATAACATAAGACAGTACTATATATTTTTCCTGTTATATTAAGTTCCAAATAATAGAAGCTTTTGAAAATTGATATGCTATCACTTTTTGCCTTTATTTTCTCTGACCATACTTAGTGATACTTCATTAGTTTTTACTTACTGGTGCATGTTGAATTATTTCTTGTAATTCATTGAAATGCGCCTGGTGGGACACTTTACTTTGAAAAACCTTTCTTTATCTTCTGGGCAAACACTCCTTTAAGTCATTAAATTCTGACACCGTGATCCAATAGTTTAAAGAAGAAAGCTTAAAGCTCACCCAAAAGGACGGTAAATTGGTTCGGCACTGCAGAGAAGACACAGCCAAAATTTTACAGTTGGAAAGAGCAGAACCTACAGAACATTCAATCTCAATATCCCTTATTGTGAAAGAACAGAGGGGAGATATTCCAGAATATTTGGAAGTCTTGCTTGAAGAAGACTGTGTGTTTTGTTTCCACTCAGAAGTGTGTGAAAATCCTCAAACACAGAATCCTGCCTGATATGAAAACAAAGCAATTTTGACAGAGGCAGAGGGTGGTTTTGTTTTGTGGTTTAGGATACGATAGTCTGTGAAAAGTTGTTATACCTTTATTTTCTGGAGAGGTTTTTGACATGGAATAATGTTGTACTATTTATGCATTGAAAGAACTGTACAAATGCTGAGAAAATGTACTTAATTTGTTGCAGTTTTATCCTGTAAAATAATTTTATATATATTTTCATAGCTCAAGCAAATTTAGCTATGGCACTTCCTGTCCCTTACATGTTTGCTCTTGCTTTGCATACCTGTCTTTGTGTGGTGTATGGCAGTGAAACTGAAGCCAAATAGAAGTGCTTCAGTAGTAAAGACAGGTATTTGTAGTACATGTAGTAACTGTCTTTCCAATCCCCTTTGTAAGATGCAGAAACTTTACCCCACATACTGTGGTGTTTTGTTTGTTTTCTTCTAGAGAGCAGATGGTGTTTATAAAAGCTATACCTAAACTGTGCAATCCAAAAGCACTAAACCTTGTCCGTGCACTGTGTGTGTAGCTTGGATATATCTCTGCTCCTGGGATACACACAGTCCTATTCTTTCCCCCACTGCATTTTCAAAGCAGGGAGGCAGAGGGGACAGGGATATGTTTTGTCAAATTTAAGTGATTTAGGGACCCAGACCTTCTGGCGGGTTTGTGCCACATGTTTTAGAAATGTTCAGGTTTTACAGTTCTATTTTAAAAAAGAAAAAAAAAAGTGCATACACCTGATACCAGATTAGCTTTACTGCTACAGCCCTCCTCCTTTATTCTATCACTATCCACAAAATTATTCCAGTGTAAAGATTCCCTGTCTGTAACTATACTGGTGTGCACACTTACTGAACCGTGACTATGCAGAAAGAAGGGGATGGTGCACTGTTCTGAATGTGCTCGATTCTGTGGCAGTCATGGAGACACCTTGTCTCCTACTCGTTTCTGCCACTTAGGCAGTTGTTCTTGCTCTTGCAGTGTGGCTTCCTCCTGTGGTGCATGGCTCCAAGTCCTTCCAATGGAGCAGAATTCCTCTACCATCGGATTATCCGGCCTTTCTTCCTGAAGCACGAAGCTCGACTGGACAGTGTTGTTAAAGACCTGAAAGACAAGGCTGCAGAGACTGCAGACACCATCACTAAAGAGGGTGAGCAGACCATTCACTAGTCACATCAACTAGGGGGAATTTCCCTGGGGAACTCTATTATTTACAGTTAATATTTATTGTTTAGAGGGAAAAAAAATTGTAAGAAGACTACGTAAGTTATAATGGAGAAAGTAAACTTGGGTGAAGGTGCCAGGAAATGAGAATTGCAGTGGATCTTGCTGGCTAGAATTGCAGTTGTGCTAGAATGAGTGGAAAAAGTGGTATAGTCTGTGTGTCTTCCCGCTATACATACCACTATAAATATTCTCCCTGGAGGCAGCTCCAAACATGCTCACAAAATACCTTTCATAAATGTAGTTATTGTTTCAGTGTATTCTCACATCTTCTAAAATACTGCCTCAAATGCCTGGTAGTATAGAAGGGCTGCCAACTGTATAGTAAAGGAATTAACTCCAATAAACAGCAAAAAAGCAGAAATGAAGCTTTCCCATCTATATGTTTTTGTACTTTTCCTTCCTCTGGAGATCAAAAGATACTGAGCCCACTCTTAAAGAAATTGCTTTGGTTTTATTTGGTTAGAATAATTATTATCACAGCCTGTAGGCTGTTAAATTTTTTCTTTTATTTCCTTGCATTCTGTAGTGAACCCTTGTACTCTAAAATGCCTGATAATCATTTAATAATGTTAATAATAATAATAATAATAATAATAGAAGCAATAATAAGAAGGAAAGGAAATGTATTAAGTAGATAAAACAAAGGTTTATTTCAATTTCATTGGAAAGGAATTCTATTTATATACTATTTCAAAGCACCTTAAGTCTCCTTTCCACTAAACAATGCATGCAGTCTCATTTCATCTTTTGAACTTAAGCAGTTTTCCTGTCTGTTTAAATGATCTGCCTTTCCCAACCATGCTTGGAAATTTTACTGCATGACTCTTCCTGAGTCGTCATTGTTAGGCATGTGTCTTAATTAATGTTCTTCCACATTGCACATGGGATTTTCCTGTCCTCATTGCATCACTTATTCTTTCTTTTTCCTTTTTTTTCCTATATAAAAATTTTCACATATAGTTTTTTTTTCTTCAAGAAATCATGTGCACGCATATGCATGTACACAGACACACTGACTTTATTCCAACCCTGTTTTATCATTATAGTATATTTCTTGCTGTATTTCTTTAACACTACAAGCAGCTCTGTTTTGTAAGTACCATAGTTTTAAGGCAGTCTATGATGTTTATTGTGCTGTTCCTTGCTTATGTTTTATTTTTAAAAATCTTTTTCTGGTCATTTTCATCAATATATCTGTGTGCATGTGTATACAAAAGCTGTGATTTTATTTTGTGTTGTGTCTCCTTCAGTGCCCATATTTTGTGACCTAAAAGGAAAATTATTTTATTAATGCAGTTTGAGAACAGTGGGTAGCCCACTTTGTCTGTAGGCCTGTGATTAAAATTCCTTTTATTTTCCTGTAGCCAAGAAAGCAACAGTGAACTTACTTGGTGAAGAAAAGAAGAGCACTTAAACTGGATAAAGTTTCCCTACCGCCTCCTTTGTGAAGCTTGATGTTACTGGGAACTGTGGTATAAGTTTAATAATATTGCCTTGGAAACATTTTGATATATTAAAGGAATGTGTTGTAAGTTTACTTACTACTTTGCTGTGTCTGATAGAGAGTATGCATTTTTATTTAAAAGCAATGCAGTGGGCAGCATCTGAAGCTTAATGAAAATATTTTCTTCATCTTCATGCAGAGGAAGTCTTTCAGTAATCTCTTTCTGCAGTAACGTAAATAAAAAGTATATATTCCTCAGGCTCTGCACTTTAGTTGTCTCTTTGTCTATGAAATGACTCTTAACACTTTGACTGTGGTACATCTGGTAGCACAGAGCTGTTTTATAAGGAAAATACTAATCTGAATGGATCTTCTCAAATATACAGGGAATTATTGTTAGAAGTGGCATAATGGATGTATTTCCCACCAGTAAAGCTGTAAATTATGAAATTACATGTTCTAAGCACCTGATTATAGAGATTATTCACCACTGCATGTTTTGTTGTAACACAGTATTTGGCAAAGTTGTGTGTATTCTTCAATGGATAAATACTAAATATAGGAAAGAATAACTTCATTGAAGTGATCAAGCTTATATTAGTGTAAAGTAATTTGCTAGAAATGGATGCATTAAGTTGCAAAGATTAGCACAAGATGACTAAAGTACAACTCCTTGCCTATTCTTGCTAAATAAAGTTGTCCTCTAAAATTGTTAATAGAGCTCCTTTTCAGATCACACTCAAAAAACCACAAACCACTTTTTGCCAAGGAGTGATACCATTAAAAATAATTTTTCCTGAATTCTCATTAAAATGTCAACTGCCTTAGGTGTCAGTCTTCAGAAGTACATTATTAATGGGATGGACTACAATCCCCTGAGCTTTTTCTGCTTACGAAAATCTTCAGTCTCTTCTGACTGTACTAAGAACAACTCTTCATGAGCACTAAAACTTCCTGAATGCAGATGCTCTTGTTGCTACTTGACATATTCCTGGCCAGTCAGTAAGAGTGCAACCAAAGTTGTTAAGAGAATAAGCGGATTTTTTACAATCAGTATAAAAGAATACATATATATATATATGTATATATTTTAGATTTGCATCTGCATTTACTCTTTCACAGTGCAGGTTTTTTTCAACAAATTCAGCCTGAGTTACTGAAATCTCCCTGTTCTCATCTCCATTCTGGTGTTTCTTTAAAGCCTACAGTACTGATATGGCAGTTCTTAACTCACAGAATATGCAGAAGGGAAGCTTAAGCTTTTAATGCGAGAAAAAGTGATTTACAGTCCATGACCTTGAATTCAAAAGATTCAATCTTAAAATAAACTTCTGAGGACTTTTGGCTTTCTGCAACAAGTTGGTGTAGCCAGAACTGCAAAACAGTGAAGGACACAGTGCAACGCAGCAGGTCAGTTTTAACTTTGAGAGATATATTATATAAGGAGGGATGTAAAAGTGTCCTAAGAGAAAGCATTTTAAGCTCTAAGCTGGAAAACAGACCTTAGGGCTTCCAACTTGGATAGGGAACCATGAGACCTGCTGTACCTCATGTTCTGTAGGACATCATGCTGTTTGTCATTTGAAGGAAAAAATGTAAGATATCACAGCTAATCATTCCAAGACAACTTTTTGTTAGGAGGGGATATGCTGAAGAGGATAAAGTTTACAACAAAGTTGTAGATGTAAACATGTAAAAAGTCTGAAGTGACTCACCATTTAACTGGTTTAATTTCTTGTCTTATCTTCCTCTGTTGTAAACCCACTGAACTTTTCTGTAAGCCTCACTAAATCCTACTCCTGTGTTTTAAACATGATCAGCTATCAAGTGGCCATTGGAATTTAGTTTCACCTCTTGAAATAAGAAGTAAAGAGATAAAAAGAAATTAAGATACTTAATAGTCTATTTGATTTTGGTGCGAAGCACTACATAATTTACTTATCTAAAAGCTATGATAAATTTTGGACTTTACAAGCCTAATGAGGTCTGTAGTAGAGATGGGACTTACTTTTCATTTCTTATACTACTCAGCAGTTCTTCCACTGTTTTTATGGGGATAAAAAGTTCTATATAAGTGTTAGGTAAGTGCTAAAACAGTCCCTTGCATCTCTCTCAGCACTTGAATGGTTTTAAATAAACTTCTTGTCTTTACAACTTGATATTACTGGCATGGATATTTAGTGCTCTTTTGTCAGATTTCTACTTGAATTAGAAACACAATCTGTTGTTAACAGAACTTGATCTTGGTTTTTTGCCTTGATGCAAGTAGAAATGACTGAATTTCTGCAGCAAGTTATCCTTTCCTGCAAGTTACTCCTGCAATCCACTGGGCTGGCCCTGCAGATCAGTGCTTTTCTTTGTGTCTTCACAACATTTAAGTGCAAATGTTAGTACACAGACCTACTCCATGTCTATGCTGAAGTTGTAACGTGCTAAATAAAAATGGACACAAATAAAGATAATCTTATGGGACTAGTATGATGCCTCAGTATTTCTTAAGAGCCTTATACCTCAACAGTGAAAACCTGGTTACTTTAGGAAGGCAGAAGGTCTTTACAGGGGATTCACTTCCCCCTCCCCCCCAAGATTCATTACTGTGGAACTAGTAGAAAGCTCTCTAAAAGCCCAAAGGAAGTAATTCTGCTTCATGGCAACCTTAGGCAGCAGTTTTTGAACATCAGGCTTTATCAAAAGAGTTTGGAATGCAGATCTCTTCCCAGTAGTGAGCACCACAAGCATCTCTCTGTGCAGCTACCTCTTTCTAGGCTTCATAGCCTGGTTTACCTGAGGAATTGTCAAAATTTAGTATTCTTTAGAAATGTAGAGAGGAAAAATTGTAAAATACCTGGATTTTGACATTTTTTCCTCACACATTGGTTTCTTAGTGTTCCATAAATGACCTAAACAAACAATGCTGCAGCACTATTTGTGGTGGTGGGCAGTGGTGTTGTTAGAGTTCTTTCTGTTACCACGGTAAGTAGGACATTTCTTCTGCTTTTCCAAGCTCAGCAGAAAGAAAAATAAGGTCAGAAAAACATAAAAGACCCCCACAATGATAACATCACCACAAGTGATATTAAAATGAAAATTCTTCAAAGCAGGATAGTTAACAAAGCATAGAAATTCTTGTAAGTAGTCTAATATTTGTCAGGTCAAACCCTCACAACTTTTTCTTATTTTCCAGTCTTATCAACTCCTTAAATAATCTGAGAATCAACTAAAATTATTATAACTAATTCCTCTAGTCACCTCCCATCCCCATTTCAAATTCAACCAGTTCCTCTTATGAAAAGGAGGAAGAATTTTTTGCAAAAAAACAAAACCACAAATCTTTGTACGTCAGTATTTTCTGTAAACTGCATATCTTGCAAATATCATGAACATCAGTCTTGTCTTCTAGAGAATTTGTACATTCCAGCGTGATGGAATGAAACAGTACTTGAGAAATGACAATGTAGGACCACTAAGGAAGTCCTTGGTTGTGCAACTTTTTGCAAATTAGGTTTCCTACTGGTATATAAACTCGTAAGGGATTCTGGAGCAAAAAATCCTCAGATGACCACATGAACTCATGATCTGGTCAAGGAAACATAATTGAAGATGAACATCTTTGAATTCAGCACAGTTTGGAATGGCATGTAGTTGATGCCTTTGCTGAGGCTATGGAATTCCACAAAACATTATATTTTGCGTTACTGCGTCTTTGCAGGAGAAGAATTCTTTAAAGATTTCAATCAGACACATCTGAAAAACAAACAAACTGCACCTAAAAGAAACCCCAACCCTTGATACAGAAAGAGACACAGATGCTGTTTCATAGGAAATAGCACTCCAGTGCAGGCTACTCAGTTCCTACTTGGAATGTTACAAGGATTCTGAGCTCACATGTCCATTTCAAATGTTTAATCTTTGTCTAGGTATCCAGAAAACTGTGTAGGGAAATAACAAGTATATACTTTTAAATAACTAGACTAGTATCTTCTGAAGGGACACTAGTTCAAAATCCATATTCCTCCTGTCTTGATGGAGAGTAAATCCCACTCATTGATGCATGCCTCTGTTAATGTTGCCACCTACAGGAAACCACGGGCCACTGTGCCTTTTTAGTAATGATGCAGCACAAGCAATGCTCACAGAAAACTTGTCAAAAGCAAGGCAGGTGAAATAAAAAGGTGTCCATTATCACCCAGTTTTTCTCTCAATTTTTTTTTTCTTTTAAGTCATAGCATTGAGCCCAAAAGTTGCAGTATTTCTGTGTTTTTACAGAAGCCTTGTCTGCACTTTCAGTCCCAGAACGTCCTGTAAGAATCTGCCCTGTTCCAAGGGCAGGAACTGAAGGGTGAAATTGAGAGAAGGGTGCTGAAGAAAAGGGCAAGCCTGCAGAATAACTTGACTTACTATCTTGCCCTGCTTGTATTTAATCCCCTAAGGAACATATGCTACTCTTACATTGATGAAATATTTGGGTGGGCTTAGGAGGGGTGAACTTCACCTTGGACACTACTGCACAGGTTATCCATGGATGTGAAACACATGGTGTGATTAAGCCAAGTGGTTAAAGCCTCTCTGGTATGGTGGGTGATGACTGAAATGTAAATATGGGGAAGCTGGGCGGTGTGATCACGTCACACTCCCTCAAATGCACCAAGGGAAGTACCATGTGCTCACAGTGGTGGGAGCAACCACTGGAAACAGTGGCTGGAAACAGCCTCTGTGCTCCAGGACACATCCTCTTGGAACACAAGCCTTTTGGAGACACAACACCCCAGAAAGAATCAAGTCAGACAACGGGGCTCATTTCCAAAACAACCCCAGACACTGGGGCCAAAGAGCATGGCAGTGAGTGGAAATACCACATTCCCTAGCATACACCACGCTCTGAAAAGGTCAAAGGATGCAGTGGATGGTTAAAGGCCACACTGAGAGCAATGAATGGTGGCCCTTCACACATTGGTATCCATGTTTAGCAAAGGCCATCTGGTTATTCAACACTCAGAGGTCTGATCTGCCAGTCAGGCTGGCCCTGCCCAACCTAAACTTGGTGCCCTTGGTGGATTATCCAAGAGGATGGAAAAGTCCAGTGTGTGTCTCAAAGCCATGAATTACACTGTATGATGTTAATTACTGTGTAACACCATGAATTACCCCTTCTGTGGTGGTTACATGCCCATCACCACACTGGGCGCCTCACAGTGCCCGTCTGTGACAGGCTGAATTTGGGGATCTGAACCTGACTCGCCTTTTGGTCATCACCATTTCCCATCACCACACTGATGGAGAATGGACTGTGACTGAGTCCCACCACCACACACCACCTTTCCTGCCTGAAACACCGTTCTGACAGATGGAGCCCAAGGTCACACACTAAATGAAATCAATGGACTTTTACAGGGATTGTCCATAGACTATGGGAATATTATCCATTTGTGTACATAAATCCAAAGGGAGGTAAGTGATGGGGCATTGGGAAGTGTGGGACCTGGCATGACATAAATTATATGGAATAAGGTGTGCCTACTGTCCTGGTTTCAGCTGTGACACACTGAATTTTCTCCCGGCAGCTGGTACAGTGCTGTCTTTTGGATTCAGTGTGAGGATAATACTGGTAACACACTGTTTGTTCCTGAGCAGTGCTTCCCTTAAGTCAAGGACTTTTCAGTGCCTCATGCTCTGCCAGTGAGGAGGTGTGGCAAGAAACCAGGACAGGTGACCCAAACTGGTCAAAGATCATCCATACCACAGAGGGTAATTGGCCAGGAGGGACTAATTACTCTTGGGGGATGGGCTGGGCATCATTCAGCAGGTGGTGACTGATTGTATTGTGCATCACTTGCTTTTCTGATTCCCCCCCCCTTTAAAAAATTGTATTAATAATAATTTTTATTAATTTATTATATTTTAATTACTATAATAAGTATAATTATATTTTGCTTTGTTTAAATTATTAAGCTGTTCTTACCTACACCCATAAATTTTTTATTTCCTGATTATCCTCCCCTCTGTCCAGTTGGGGGTAGGGAGTGAGGGAGGGGCTGCTTGGTACTTAGTTGCCAGCTGGGGTTAAACCTCATCCAGCCTGGCCTTGAACACTTCCAGGGATGGGGCATGCACAAGGTGTATGGGCAACCTGTGCCTCACTATGCTCATAGTGAAGAATTTCTTCCTAATACAGAATACTACAGAATTAAGACAACTGCTTTACTAGCATAAATACATGGTTTACTATGGCAACCAGTTTTCAGCTTTCTGGTCTGCATAAGAATATTTATTTGTCAAAAGCTGCATATATCTTCTGGAAGGAATAATTCTCCTACCCACCCCACCTGATTATGTTCTTCCACGTTTAAAAGTGGGTGCTTAGCTCCGGACTTGCAGGTTGTGTGTGAAAACAGATTTATTGTTACACAGATGCAAGGCAGCTAAATGCATTCCAGTTCTGATAAAGCAGGCAGTTCTATTTAACGTCCCCTCTTTATTTCTTGCTTGTATCTCTCACTTCAAAGTTGCAGCAACATGTCCATCTGCATTTGTTGTAAGTACAACTATGCAATGTTACAGTGATTCCAGGTGTGAGCTCACTTCTTTTTCTTCCCTTTACCTTTCTTGCCTCCCTCTCCTTGCTGAAGGCTTTGATCACTACCTCCCATCTTCTGAGTTCTTGTTTTCAGTTTAGGAATGGTTTCTGCAGCATACAGCATCACTGACTTACCTAAAAACACACGGAGAGATCAATGTATGCCTCACACGTTAATGCAGCATTTTCAAACTTAGAAACTTTAGCCCCACTTCATATTTCACTTAAACTGGGTATGAAGTCCAGGAGTTCTGCTTCCTTCCTTTGTGTACCAAGCAGCTTGTGAAAAATTATTGGAGGGGGAAAAGAAAGTGCAGAACTGAGAAATATCCCAACAGACTAGAATAGGCACATAACCTGACAATCTTCGATGTATCTACAACCTTCCTGCTACTCTTTCACTCACCTCTTACTGGCCCAGAATATTTGGGACAGAATGATCAGGCAAAAGCTACAAGCACTTTTAGAAAGGCACTGCTGCCTTCCAGAAGGATTATGGTTTTTAAATCATCTCCTTCAGACTACCAGCACTCTTATGCTATTCTAGATTCCGTAGTAGTCTTGCTCTTTCCTTAAGACACGTACTGCTTCCCTTTCACACATGGATTCATTGTCAGGAAAAATGCAAAATACTGCATTATTTGTCATTCAAGGTGAACTATTTCTATTAATTAGTTAAGGGCAGTTGCTTCATTATTAATTTACGAAATCTCAACTGAACTCAGTATGTATTTTATCAATTTGGCATCCACACCGACGCCTAGCTGGTGTGTGCAACCTAAGAAAAAAGGTGGAATTTAGCCATTTAAACACCAAATACTCTGTTTTAAATGTTAACAAAACAGTAAGCCAAAAGTGAATAGATGCTTTGTTCCACATAGCAATCACACAACATTCCCCATAGTCCCCTGCTATGACACTGCAGCAGAAACTGCAGGATTAAGGGCAACAACATTTTACAAACTCTCCTCAGTACCCACAGTACAACTTGATTTAGTTGACTTACACAGGCAAAGAGATTTAATGTAGAGTTATTTATAATTAAATATTATATGTATTTAATCATAAATAACAATTTATAATAGTTAAAACTAATTAAAGAAACTGGTAACATAAAATAAACAAAGTCTTCCTGGTTTATTAACTGAAGAAGTGCCTAAACCCAGGTACTCTATACTCACGTGTTGGAAACTGAGGTAAACATGGGTTGCCATCATCTTGTTTGAGCTGGATTCGTACTCTACCTCTGTACTGCACGTCTCTGTTCCACTCTCTAGGATACATCTTATTTTTCTGTCATGCAAAAGGACAAACTCATTATAATGAGCAGTGGAAAATGGAACTGTTTCAGAGTCATAGCCTTCATTCTTGATGAAACATCACAGGTCTCTCAGTGGTACTGGTTGTTTCACAGTGCATTGTTCAACTGCTTCTGAAAAGCAAAGTGGTTTTACTGGTTTTTGGATACCAGTAACACTCCTAGGTGAGGAGCTCAATTCTTCTTAGAAAATTCAACACTGTTTTAAATTAATAATTACTTCAAGAAACAATCTGTGAAGTTACTTCTCTAGAAATCCAGACTCATTGCCTAAGAACAACAAACTATTCGCATGTATTGCAATAAAAAGCTAACGTTCTCTGGCTAAAATGTAACTCCAAAGGGCTATGAAGACTCCAAGCATCAGAATCCTATTCCTATACAACACAGTCATTGCAAAGGTAACCACTTTTCATTAAAAACACGCCTTTTTAAAACCTTAATTTGCAGAGCTGCAGCTTCCAAAATTAGTTTTTATTCTGACACACTTTCAAGCACCCATTACAGTCTTTTCAGAAGGAGAGTAAAACAGAACTAATTTTTCCATAAGCTTAAAAGTGACATTACCTAAGAAATCTGAGATATTTCTAACTTGCATCAGTTTTCCAACATTTACTTCATGATTATGGTCAGTTATCATTCAAAGCAAGCAAAGCTACTAACAAAACTTCTCAACTGCAAGTTATCCTGTCCATGAGAAAATATATAATGAAAGAACAGAGATCTCAAGTTTGTTTGTTTTGGGTTTTTTTGGTGGGGGGGATTCTTTTTGAAAATTACCTCTAATAACACATTGAATCCAACTGCTGCACATACATCTTGGATTTCTGTAGATGTGGGGTTTTCAACAGCCTGTTGAAACAACGTGTTACAATTAATTAGTTTTCAACAAGGATCTGCCTACATAACAGTAGTTATTAGTTTCCCACCCTATACTCTGTAACTAGAAAAAGCAGATGGGGACAGAGAAGGTACTTCAAATACTGACACATCTACTCTAGAAGTCATCTATCAGTGCTTCTGTGGTCTACAAAACATTTAAAAAAAAGAGAGAGAGAAGACATCAGGAAACAGAAAACAGATGAAACAGAATTAATTAAGACAGGGAAGAAAGCAAAAGAATTGCTTAGGAAAAGTAACTTAAATTAATTAATAGTTATTGTATGTACAAAGATACCAAAAGCTGTGAATCAGCAACAGCAAACTCACAGTAAGGACTGAAGGAGGAAAGAACAGAAAATTTCTAGAGTTTTGATTGGTAACTTGCATGCTCATGAAAGATTTTGTTTTTAACTATTCTCAGAAAAACCCACAACCCTAAGCAGTGAGAAAAGCCCTTTATATTCCCAGCATTGCTTGTTAAAATTATTATAAAGCAGTGAAATGATGAAAAACTATTTCTGGACAGATTATAAGCAACAATAACTACCAAGTTTACATGCATTTCAAGTTCTAACTTTGAAAGCAACAGAGAGGACAGGACACAGAGTACAGACATATATAGTTAGTCTCCGAAAAACAATCATTAGCTAATTATTCTTTTCTGCTTTGCTTTCAAATTTGGCAAACTACTTGTATGGGAAGTTGAGTGCATTAAGCTCCTCATTCACCTGTTTGCCCAAGGTGCTGCTCACATGAAAGCAGACACTTCAACCCAGTGCTCTTCTACTACACTCACATGCTGGCAGCAGGCTATCTTCAAACACAGTGTAATTTCCAGTTACCAAACTACTTGTCATGGGGGATTGGAAAGATCAGAGATATATTTTCTAGCTCTCTACACAGTACTGCATAGCAAAATAAAACACCTTTTCCCTACCACCCACAAAATTACTTTGTCTATAGGAATCCTCCTTCCTTCTGCTATTGTCTTCTTGTTATTCAAATATGCTGGATAAATGCAGATGAATCTAGGAAGAGAAAACAGTCAGTTTAAGTAAATGACATCAGCTTCTTTGTTACTAATGCAATACTTTCCTAGTAAAACCAAAAAATAAATCCCATGGGTACAACACAGCAGTTCCCATAAGAACAATCATTTATTTTCCCTAGACTGATTCGTAAAATGTTGTAAAATCCCATTTGGAGTTATTACAAGCACTGCAGGACCATTTGGCTGAGATGCTCCTTGCATGACACCACTTTTTGGGGCACTGTGCGTACAAAGGGCAGCACTACCTATTACAAGAAAAATAAAAAGAGACTGAAACAGGATGTTTTGACCTATTTCTCACACCCCTGAAACCTGGCAGGGTACACACATCTTTCCCCGAAAAGAATTAAAGAATGTTTCCTGAAATGGTTTTACTACACTAATAGTTAACTCAGCTCCTGATAGAAGGAAGCGGTAGATTTTTTTTCTGCAATAGTTTTGCCTTTCTGTGTGCTTTTTGGTGTTTGGGTTTTTGTTTGTTTCCTTTTGTTTGTTTGTTTTTGTTTTGATTTTTGTTTGGTTGGTTTGGGGGTTTGTTTTGTTTATTTTTTTTTATTTTGTTGTTGTTATTTTTGTTTTTGTTTATTCATACATAGATCAACCCAGATTTGGGGCAAATTTATAAAGCCACCGAAAAACTGTGCTTAGGAACTTGATCAAAATTTTGCAGTGAATTTAAACCTGTCAAGCACATACGGGGGATGAGACTGACAGAACCTCAATTACACTTATTAGAAAATTAAAATGCCAGCTAGGTAGACCAAGAAGTGGGAAAACGCCTACATTTATTTGGATAAGGACCTACGAGAGCATAAGGAAAAGCGAGTAAATCGTTTGATGTTCACACAGCTGGAGAACGACAAGGACTGTCGCTGCGTCTCAGGAAACGCTCCTTGCTGCCTCTAAAACCAGCCCAAATCACCTCAACTCTTAGTATTTTCTTCTTTTTTCTTTCCAGTGGTGTTTCCCTCCCTATTTGCTCTTTATGAGCCGACTAGTTCTTGTGGGTCCAGCACGGGAATTCCAGTTCCGATACCGACTCTCCAAACCACACACGTACCACCACCATCCCAACCACCACCCCCCCTTGTTCCGCAGGAATTTCACCACCACTCCTAGCCCCGCCCGCGTTTTCTGCATCCCGAATGACACATAAGCAAAGAAACACCCGCAAACAGCCCGGCCCAGCGCACCCAGACCCGCGGTACCTCTCCTTGTCGGCCGGGGACGCGGCGCCCGCGGCAGCAGCCATGACAGAGGCACCACCCCCGCGGCGTGGGGCCCTCCCCCAGGGGCCCGTCCCTGAGCTTCCATTGGACAGCGGCGCTGTCTGTCAAGCGCGGCAGCCTGTGAGGAGACGCCACGTCCGCGCCCCCCGGGGCCGCGCGCGCGGCTTCCGCCGGGAATGGCGTCGGGAAGGGGGCCGGGAATGGCGGGCGGGAACCGCGGGGATGTAGGGAAACACCCTGAATAATCAGTATAACACTAGCCCACAGGGTGGCGGTGGGTGACACAAAACGCGGCTGGAGGCCGTTGAACCGCCGCGTGGTTCCCTTCGTTCACAGCGCCCCGGCGGTGCTTCAGCCCAAGAACAACCCATCTGATCCAATGTCTCAGAAGGTAACGCGAAGAAATACCTGTTCGGGATTAGCACAGCCTCGTGTGCAATGAAATTAAAAAGTAGGCTAAAACTTAATAAAAAAATTAAGGAGTTACTTGCTGGGTCCAATCCTGTCTCACATCTTCATTAAAGATCTGGGTGACAGGCTGGTTTACTGGCCAAACTGGGAGCAGGGGCTGATGCACCAGAGGACTGTGCTGACAGCCAGAGGGACCTGGACATGCTGCAGAAATTGGTTGACAGGAACCTCATGCAGTTCAATAAGGGGAAGAGCAAAGTCCTGCACCTGGAGAGGAACATCCCCAGGCACCAGCACAGGCTAGGGACTGACTGCCCAGCTGGGAAGCAGCTTGTCAGGAAAGGCCTTGGTGGACTCCAAGTTGAACATGAGCCAGTGAAGTGCTCCTATGACAAAGAAGAAAATGGTTTCCTGGGCTGCATTACCAGAAGTGTTGCCAGCAGGTCAGGGGGGTGATCCTGCCCCCCAGCACTGGTGAGGCCACACCTGGAATGCTAGTCCGGCTCTGGGCTCCTCAGGACAAGACAGACACGAACACAATGGAGAGAGTCCAGGATATGGCCACCAAGATGACGAAGGGACTGGAGCAGCTCATCCTGGAGAAGAGAAGGCTCAGGGGGATCTCACCAATGTGTATAAACACCTGGAGGGAAGGTACAAAGAGGACAGAGCCAGGCTCTTTCCAGTGGGGCCCAGAGACAGGACCAGAGGTGACTCAACGCAGGAGGTTCCCTCTGAACATCAGTAAACTCCTCTTCCCTATGAGGGTGACCAAGCACTGGCACAGGTTACCCATGGAGGTGATGGAGTCTTCATCCTTGGAAACACTGAAAAGCTGTATGGGAATGATGCTGGACATCTGGCTCTAGGTAGTGCTGCTTGAGCAGGTGGCTGGACCAGATGGCATCCAGAGGTCAGCCTCAGCCATTCAGTCACTCTGTGGATTTCACAGGGCATATATTGTGCAGTGTTACACTCACCAGTTAAACTTCATGCAGCAGCTATGTACCAGGACAAAGAACTGAAGGTATTTATTCAGTATTTATCCCGGGTGGTATTTTTTTCGTTGTTTTTTTTTTTTTTTTTTCTGCTCCACCAACATATCCTGCTCCCTTCAATGAAATCCTGAAGAGGAGGGTGCTGAGACCCACTGTAACACAGTGGTATTTCCAGGGAAGAACTACAAGTACCATTCATGAAAGCTTGAGTTTGAGTTAAGAGTGATGGAGAAGCTTCAAAAACAAGATTCAGAAAATCAGGCATTTGGCCTCGATTAAGAAGTTGTTTGTCTGCTCAGCATTTTGACTGATGAGCAGTTTGGTTGCCTTCTGTATTTGCTCTCAGCACGTCAGAAGTGAATACACTGTACAAAGTACTACACAAAACAGGAACATAAAACTGCGTGGCCTGAGCAGAAGCAGCTTTTGAGAAGGTGACTGCAGCTGTCTGGGACCAAGTCAGCAACCTGGCAGCACCTCACAAGCTCAACAAGCTCCTTAGCAAAAAAAAAAAGGTTATGAGGTGTGTCAGTTATAAAGGAAGTTTTTGAAGCGATAGTTGTCCAGTGCTACAGACAGATTTCTGGAGGGTTATCCCCAGATTACCATCAAGCTGGCTGATACAGAGTCAAGTGTAGCTTCCTAAGAGGTAATCTATTACAAATAATTGTAGATATTTTTTGTTGTTTAGCAGCAAAATGTTCTCATTTTGTTAATAGTAGCTTGGTAATGGATTTCCTGTATTTTTCTTTTAAATCTCCATTGTATGCACAGACTTGTCTATTCAATGATTTTTTATTGAGATACCTACCACCTAAAAAGTGTCAGAGCTGCCATTGTGTCTCTGTGCAGGGCATGTCAATGATCTGACCATAATATAAAACACAGTCATCATCAACCATGTTACAAAGCAAGCTTATTGCCATTTGGGTTTGTCCAATAATATACACTGCCCTTTCCTTCTGGGACACGTAGATTTGAATCCACCAAAAGGGCACAGACATAAATCTCTGAAGGACAGTGCTCTAGCAGTGTTTAAATCAAAGAGCAATCTATCTAATCTAATCTTTTAGAAAGAAATGCTAAGAAATATGTATTTGGTAATATCACAGCTTTGTATACAATTAAAGGAAAAAGAGGCTAAAACCTAATGAAAAAAATATTAAAATTTACTTCTTCGTAGTGTTCTTTTCTCCCTTAGATTTCTGTAATGATTTTAGTTTCTCAATCAGTTTGCAGATCAATTTCTGGTGCATCACCTTGAGCAACACTGCTTTGACAGTATGTTGTTTAAGGCAGTGACACAGCTGCAGTTTGTGAGTGGCACAGTACCACTGTTGCATATTAAGACTGCTCTCAGTCGGTCCACTTAATTCAGGACACTGAGAAAGGTTTTGTGTATTCGTTTAATGTTGTTTTATCTGACAGTTGCATTTCATTTTTTTTAATTTGAATTCACAGAGCTTTTTAATACCAGCATACTGGATTAATGGCTTATATTTTAAAATAGCATTTAAATTTCTGTAACAGAAGATACACAGGCTGTATCAGTATTTGTGGCAAAGACAAAAATTATTTTCTGCATCTTTTTCAGATGGAAAAATAATTGAAAATTTGTCAGAAATGGAGTTTTTGGAATTACAGATTTGATGATATGGCATACATGACTGACCACTCTGCAGATACTACTATTACATACCAGTCTCCTTCACAGGTGGTAGAATTCACAATATCTCAAAAACAGCATGCTGGAAATGAAGCACTGGTTACAGACCTGTCAATTTAATCCCCATCATCGCTGTAGAACGACTTCATTGAGTATATGGCATCCGTTCACTGTATTTTTTTCTAGTGGCATAAATAATAAATTTCAAAGTCGAATTCTGTATATTTCCAGCCTGAGGAATTCAGAGACAGAAGTAGGTCACACAGCATTCCAGCCCAGGCACGTTGTAGCTGCATGTGCTTCCTGAATGTCAGCTATCTCTGACCTCAAGAAATGAAACTGGGAAGCACACCTGACAGCTTTTAAACACTTAAATGCAGGATGAAGAGAAGGGATAATTGCTGGTGAGGACAAGGATTGTACACATCTGCAGCAAAATGTCAAGAGTGGAAATAATGCCTTTGGTTAGCAGCAGGGATACTGGTCTTGGAAAGCTGTGTATAACTTGGTCAGGTTATTCCCATCTGCTGTAACTGCAGCAAAAGGGGAAGGGGCAGGAAATGAGCACTGCACTACAGACATTTCAAGCAGAGAATTCCCTCACTGTATACAATGTCATCAGCAAGTCAGGTGTCCTTATTTAGATTCTATTTTTACTGTTAATGGTGTCTGGGGAAGAAAAGTAACAAAACCCACCCCAATAAAACCCCCCCAAAACCCCACCCCCAAACAAGATCACCCAGCAACAAGAGCCCTGTACAAACATGAAATAGAAATGCAAAGTGATTGCGATACATGTTCCTGCCATTCACCTGGGGAAGATGCCGTGCATTTAGAAGTGGGAGCCCAAGAAAATCTGGATGGTTTGAGGTGACACAGTTCATGGGTTTTACAGGAAGTGTCACATACAGATATTTATTCAGACCCAGCTTATTCAGACCTAACTTACATGTTCAGTTTTCTTTCACCTGAGGCAACACTGCATAGTCTAACCATGCTAGAAATACCTATATAGTAATGGGACTAGTGAAGTCATTCAGGAGGGGGTATATTTTTAGTTAGATTAGTAGAATAAGCTCTGTATTGAACTGCAGATAAAACACAGAACAAAGAAAGGGGATGTAAAGAGAACTCTTTCTTCATTCAGTGGTCATTGAAAGGAACGGGACAAGATAAGGATTTTCTCCACCATCTTTGTAAGCGAGGATTCCAAAAAGATACTTATAAGTAAAATGTAAGAGCTGGGGAAAAAAGCCAACAACTTTCAATATAGAAACATACTTCATGAAATATGACTCAAGTTGGAAGGAACACACAGGTTTGAACTAGGTCTGTCCAACAGTGAACGTTCCACAGCATAGAGAGAAAATAATGCTCTCCTTCATTTAGTTTTCATAAAACTGGTATTTACTTACCTTGAAACTTCAACATGCAGAGTTAACCATTATTCTTGGTATATGCAACTTTTAAAAAGGCTGTATACATCAAAGCAAGTGGTGTCCCTGCCCACAGCAAGGGGCTTGGAACGAGGTGAGCTTTAAGGTCCCTTCCTACCCAAGCCATTCTGTGATTCTCTGATTTTAAATCCATAGTTTTAACTGAAATCCAAAATCCTGTCTTCTGCGTAAGGAGACAGTTTTCTACTGTTTTCCAAAGAGGCACTACCTCATACCCATCCTTCAGTGATCAGCAACATGGTGTTGTTTATGAATCAGCAGAAGCATCGCTTTTGTTCATCTCAATGGTAGAAGCCTATAAATAGTGTCAGCAGCTTTTTTTAAGGCATGTGGGATGTTTTAAAGCCACATCCAGCTTACACATTTCAATCTGTGTTAAGTGCTGCCCCACAAGAGCAGCTGACAAATGGCCTTGAAAACAGCCATCCTGACTTGTATGGTGTTTAGAGCCAAAAGTCTTTTGTATTATGTCACCTAGACACAAGCATTAACTTGCATGAATTAGTGTAGGAAGTACAGCAGACAACATACACAGTATTTTACTGAGATACTGGGGGGAATATTGGGCACCATATTGCCAGGACTCTACCCAAATCCCTATTAGCTGGCAACAGGGAAAGTGGCAAAGTGGAAAAATATGGATTTGTACTCATCTCTCATTCCTTCTGATTGCAAAGCCTGTCTCTCTGAAGTACAGACCTCAGTTTTACAGTCATTCTTTGTCCTTCTGTTTTAGCCTTGTAAAGCAGCTGACAGCTGTGTAAAGTCACAGCTATGTACACTGGGCTTCTAAGATCAAAAGGAACCATCAGTCATCTGTGTGTGAAACAGTAATACAGTATTTGCACTGAGTTCATAGCTTTTACTTAAGCTAGATTTCCACTTCTAAGAATTCCAAATGATTTATGCCCTGGGTTTGGTTAGGATAGAGCCAGTTTTCTTCCCAGTAGCTTGTACAGTGTTGTGTTTTGGATTTAGTATGAGAATGTTGATAATGCACTTATGTTTCTGTTGTTGCTAAGTGGTGCCTATACTAAGTCAAGGACCTTCCAGTTTCTCATGCCCTGCCAGGAAGAGGCTGAGGGGCACAAGAAGCTGGGAGAGGGTACAGCCTGGACAGCTGAGACAAAGTGGCCCAAGGGATACTCCATCATCCTCAGCATATAAAGTGGTAGAAAAGCTTGCTGGGGGACCACTGCTTTAGGGACTGTCTAGGAATCAGTCAGCAAGTCACGAGCAATTGTATTGTGCTTCACTTGTATAGTCTATATTATTATTATTATTATTATTATGAATACTAATAATTATTATTGTATTTATTTACTGTTTATTAAACTATCTTTATCTGAACTCATGAGTTTCTCACTTTTACTCTTACTGTCTCCCCCACCCGACTGTAGGGGAGCAGGTGAGTGGCTGGGTAGTGCTTAGTTGCTGACTGTGGTTAAACAGTGACACTTAAACACTTTAAAAGTGTCAAACAGTCCATCATGGTTGTTCAACTGCTTAACGGAGTAAGAAAAAAAGTATGCCAACTCCTTCTCATCCCACAATGGAATAATAACAAAATAATAATAACAAAGTACTACCACAAATAATAAAAATTGGGAGATATCTCATAATTCATATTATGGCTTAATTTTTACATCTGCTTCCATAGCTCTTCCATAGTTACTTCCACTCTAAATGTGTGCCATCACATTAGATGAACTTACCAACAGCCTAGGTAAGATGCACAACTCTTTCTCCCCCCCAACAATGTGTTTTTAATATGGAGGATTGTTAGAAAGGACAGAGAGAATTACGCTTAATCTACCTTCATTTGTATTAAATATAATTCTCAGTCAAAATCTCCTTGTTTTCATGATCTATACTGACTTCAAAGTGCTGGTGATAGTTATGGTTGTATTTTTTTTTAAATTCTTAAAAAAAAAGTTTTAATTTCTAGCAAGGGAATTTCCTTTTCTGCATATAAACCAACACCTAAGAGCACTTTTTTCCTAGAATAACTTCAGATACAAATTAATCAGTCCTGAAATTAGAGCTCATCTCAATTATGAAAGTGTGGTACAACTATCAGAAAACAAAGGATCTTAGTAAGTCAGCAAAAATGCCTTTTTTAGTTTAAATGCTTCTGTCAAAGCCAAAGTGAAGTGCAAAATATGCATGGAAATATAAATATATGTGTATGTGTGTTGGGAATTAATTAACCTAGGTCCCTTAATAATCTACTCAGGGACTAAAGAATTCATTCATTATGGAAAGGAAAGACTTTGTAAGTAACTGAGTCTCTGCTGTGCTTATGAGTCATAACAAAATAAGCCTTCTTGCGAAACTTTTGTAGGTAACAAAGAGATTATGGAATTACACTGTGTTGGAACTACATTTTGTTTTGTGCAGCTTGTTTTAAGATAAAACATGGAAGAGAACAGGGAGCTCAACTAGCAAACCACATGTCTCCCAGGTTCTTTCTTCCACTCACTTATCTGAAATATGACTACCACCAAAATGGAACTGCATGGGATTTTTTAGAGCATTTGTTCTGATATCCTGAATTACTCAAGTGTCTTAGCAGCAACTTCCTTTTTAAATGAAATCATATTTCTAACACAGTGGACAGACACCTAACTTTCAGTAATAGCCAAGAAAACAATTCCACTCTGACAAGGTGCAATCAGGAGGAAATTTTATATAACACTGCAAGTAATAAATAAATTATGCATAGCAAGACTAAATTCAGAATAAGTATATTGTGAAACAAAATACATTAGAATAATTGAAGAAAGAATTAATTACAGAGTTAGGATATAAACAGTAATGCATCCCAGGCAGAAGCAAACAACAAAACTGAAGGAAATATAATTGTGGGCTGAGTTTGTTCAAGAGAAACAACATTTACAGGTGGGAAAATGCATCTGATCTCACAGGATGACGATTTGCTTGCAGAGAACCAGCACAAGCTTTATGTATGTTACATCCCACCACAAAGTAGGGCATCAGATACTGTTTGTATGTATGGCTTGAGGTCTGGACAGAAGTGCATTTTACTCAGTGAACCAGCTCCTGCTACACCTTCCTGAAATCCTAATTGCCATTCCACAGCCACTCAAGCAAAGGATGTTTCCACAAACAGCAAAATTTGAATAATTTCCTGAAATCCTGAAGTGGCAGAAATTCACAAGTACATAAGCCTGTAACTATGTGGAAATTTCCTAAGAAAGGTAATTTGCAAAACTACACTAGGGAGGCGTTACCCAGGCTTAGAGTAAATAAACAGCACTTCTGGTAAACTGAAACTTGAGAGCAGGAAATTCATCTTGGCATCACAAGTTAATTGACACCTGCATTAATTACTGTTGTGAACTCTTAAAGCTCTTCTGCACCACACCAAATTCCCTTGCACTTCCAATATGTAACCAAACACAACACGTAACCAGTTAACTTACCATTCTGACTAAAAACTCAACCTTAACTACGTAACATTCTCTATAAACACATTTACAGATACAAACTGTTATTCTGCATACAGGAAACTATGCTGCAGGAATTGTATTTCTACACATGATTTCAAAATGAAATTATAAGTTGGCATCTCTTCTGGTTAAACGTAAAAGTGCAAAGGAGATGGCTGTGGAACCAGAGAGTGAATACACTTGGGTAATTTGGTATTAAGAAGGTCCTTGAAGATTTAAATGTGTGGAGAAGGTCATGCTTCACATTAACTTCACTTCTGATTCACAGCTTCATCCAAATCACACATCTCATCA